TTTCATCATCACCATGTCATGATAAAACCAAGCTGTATGACTTTCTAATCTCTGGCCTCCATAAAGCAAAAACTATGTTTTGTTTTACCCCGTTTGAGAGAAATATGCGGCTGCTGCAACATCTAGGGATTTGTAAATAAGTGTTGATAAGTAAGCCAGTGAATAAAAAATATGAAAAAAAAAGTTAGTAAGTTAAAATTGGTCAGTAAGCAGTAGAACAGATAAGCTGTAATTTATTTTATTCTGGTTTATATGCACAGAGAATGTTGCTCAATTATCTGGAATGAAAGACAGCTCTGCAATTCAGGCATTTTAGACAGTCATAGTCAATTGTAAAATCTCTAATCTGTGCATCTCTGAACAACAAAGTAGAAAGGAGCTTGATTCTCCATTCAACTCATCCTGCAAAAGCATAAAGATTTATTTGATTGCAAAAAGTGAATTACTTGGTTTTGGGAACCATCTCTCTGACACTTGTTCAGTTTATATGAGTCTCCTGCAAAAACAAACTTGTATTATTCTAAGAAATTTTACTCCCAGTTTCTGCACAAAAATGTGCTCCTTTGATTGTTTTTAGTAGGTCACTTTCGCTTTTTTTAGACCTAGTTTGATTATTTTTTTGAAGGAAAACCCCCTCTTGCAAAACGTGAAGCATGCATAGCAGATTAAAGATGGCACAGCACACTGACTGTAATCTCAGGGATTAACCAGTATATCCTAACATTCAGATTTCAGATAAAGCTCTGCTCTCTAATGCAGCACCAATGCAGGTTTTCCACTAAGATGTGCATGTTTTGTACCTTGAGGTATCTCTCATGTGGGACATACTGCAGGATGATGGGCTCCATGGTGAGAACGTTGGCAAACTGCACCTCAGGGATGTAGAGCGCGCACACAACGTGGGCCCAGCCTGAGCAGCAGAGAGATTAGAGGAAGATGACAAGGCTCTTTATGGAGGACTTTAATCTGTTTCAGGCGCACTGATGTAGATCTCAGAGAAACATCAGGAGAATTAAGGTGGACAGAGACTTACCGCCACTGTCTGTCCTTTTAAGGGCTCCATCCTTGTGGGGACACAGATCGCATCTCTGAGGCAAAAGAGGAGACAGGAGAGCTCATTGTGAGTGGAAAATCAGTCATTGCAGACGAAATGGGAAGAGTGAGACATGTTGGCATACTCACTACTCGTGCTGCTCGTTCCTGTGACTCACACTTCCTACAGAACCACGGGCCGGTGGGAACCTGGACAATGCCGTAGCACGCTGGGACAAACACACAAACAAACCAAGTGACTATTATTTTCCTGTTTTGACAAAATTAGGAGAATATGCCCTAAAAGAAATGCTTAAAAAAATGCTTCCTAATCATAATATAATTTGATGTATAAAATAGTATTTGTTCAAAGATTTGAGGACAATCTTGATCGATCTGAATTTTGAGACAAGCAGTATTAGCTTCACAGTATCTGGAAAATATGATGTTTCACATTTAAGTAACAAAAAAGAAGGTACCGAAATGACAAAAAAATTTCCTGTGGAGAAGTTGGAGATGGGGTTGAGCGACATTGTCTAAAAATAAAATCTCAGATTTATTCATACCAAATCTGATTTTAAGCTATTTTTTTCCTGCTTAGTTCTCTTAAAAAATAAATTATCAATGACAAAAAGTATGTCAGAAACTTGCTTAACCCCTAGTGGGAGTTGACCTGAATTCAAAGTCCAAAAAAAAAAGAAACATTCACCACCATGAGGGCTGCACAATAGTGTTTTAGCATCTCTATCAGCAAAATTACTGTCAGATGTCAACATAAAAGTGAGTGAAAATCTATTCAACTGGCTGGCAATCAAATTTCATAGTCTTCAACATATTAAATGTTATTATCATGATATTGCATAAACTCTCACTGCAATGATGATTGTGACTCAGGATTCTGTGCAGCTTTTGTAGAGCTCACAAAGATATATTTCTACTTGATTTTTAAAAGGAAATGATCAATTATACATTCGCTTAAAATCAAACCAGAAATCTTAGCAGATTCTGATTGTTTCTTTTGTATGATAGTTATTTTCAGATTACTTTTTCCACTGACCCACAGCTACACCAACAAAACCTCAAAATTACTCAAAATATTTGTAACAGTTTGACCAATGAATGAAAAGTAAAAATGTCAGCATTTATTACTACAAAACCCTTGAGCTGTGTAAAAAAATGTTAATTGATTTTACAGAATGTTGTTTGGCACATCAAGAAGTGAATTTATGAATCTTGGGAAATTACAAGATGCAAGAATGTAAAAAAAAAAAAGAAGAAAAAAGCAACTTCCACATAATTTAAAAAGAAATACCTTATTGTATTTAAAACAATTTCTATTTTGCTGCTTCATAACTTTTCTGTATCAGTCTTTACAGAGTTTATCCACAGTGGAAGGCATGTTTGTTCTTCCTACGGGATGCAGTTTGGTTTTAATAATCCTCATAAACATCTCATTCATATTTATAGGGCACTTTCATCTCAGCCATAAACTTTAAAGCTATTTCAGCCTTTAACTCATCCCATCATAAAACCTAAGCACTTCTTGGTCACTTCAGAGACAAAACTCCATTTATCTTATAGTGCCTTGCAAAGTATTCACTTTGTCATTTGGCAGCCATAATCTTCAGTGTAATCAATTTTAATTTGTGTTATAGAACAGAAAGAAGTCTGTAATCTTGGGTTGGATGCATTTTTATTTTCCATTCGAAAATCAAATCTGGAAAAAGTGGAGTATTCAAATCTGACTGAAACTACATTTTGTGGGACTCTTATTACAAACCCCACCTTCCAGTCAGCAGGATTATTACACCTAACAGAAATACAGTAATTAGAGCAGGTAAACAAAAGCATATTGCTGTATTAGAGCAATATGGTCTATGGCAAGACCTGAAAATAGATGTTCACAGACACGTAGTCCAAACCTGACCAAGTCTCAGTTCTGTTCCTGTTGTCCTATCTGAGCTGTGGATATCTAAAGCTCCTCCAGAGTAACCAAGGGCCTCTTGGCTCCTCCCCTGATAATCATCTTATTACAACCAGATGAGTCTGATAGTTTATGTGAATCCCCATGAAACTGGTACATTTTTGTGCATTTCACAATGTGTTCAAAAACTCGACATTTGCAGTTTTAACTTGTCTGCTGTTTTCTTTGGGCTCAGTGATGTTCACTAACTGAGGCCTTCAAACAACGGCTAATCACACTTGAATGTAAAAAAATAAAAAATAAAAAATACCACCATGCATGCATTTCTTTTCTACAACTTCCCAATTCTGCACTACGTTGTGTTGGTCTGTCCCAAGTTTGTGGTTGAAACGTGAAGGATGAGATAAAAGTTGAAGAAGTTGCTACTTTTGCCAGGCTCTGTAAATAATAAACGCCGTAGAATCAAGTCTGACGATTTATTACATGGATATGTGATCCTGGGAGTTAGCTGCGTCCAATTCTACTTGGTAAATAAAACAAAGCAAGTGTCCGAGCCGGAGGGCCTCACGGTGAAAACTGGCTGGGTGTCACGGACCCGAACGGGCCGGGCGGCCACACACGGACCGGTTCATGGAGGCACCATCCTTCCTTGATGTCAGCAAGCCTGCCTGCCTGGCCCTGAGCGTTCACAACAAACAGCACGCCTGCCTGCTACCCCGTCTACCCCTCCCACACGCTCGCAGCACGCACGTACACAGAGCGAGCCAGCCTCAGAGACCTGCCGTCCTCTTGAGCGCCGCTGGCTGCGTCCAGCCGCCGGGCTCCGCGAGCGCAAAGCTGCCCGCTAATTACGAGCTAACGGCGGCTAAATGTTACCTTGGTGAACGGCGACGCTGCAGCCGTGTCCATCACAGTACACCAGCGGGTTCTCAGCCCAGCCTCGCTCGTCTGAACACACGCAGCAGCCTCCGACCATTTCCCGCATGCTTCTCCCATATGAAGAAATAAATTTCTCCTCCCGAGTAACGGCCCAGACCTCGGCCAGGCCTGTCAGGTGGACATCCGGCACTTTAACGCCGTACCGGGCATCGTCATCTGCCGCGTCGGGCGCAGGGGTTTGTTTTTGCCGCAGCAGTGAAACCAAATCTCGGCGTGTAAAAAATTGCGCTGCTTCGCAGCTTCTACGTTTTCACCGTGATGTCCTCCTCCCGTCCTCAGAACAGATGCAGTGCGCATGCTCACAATTTGTCCTGCAAAGGCATCAACTTGGGATCTGAATCAGTTTTGTGTCTTGACATTTTAAGCTCATAGCCTTGTATATCTTTTCAACTAGATAAAATCATACACTTCATCCATCGCCCAATTTCTCTGTTAAAATAATTGAGCTTAAGCAGCAAAAACCGTGGACTGCTCTCTTTTTGTAGACTGTGAAGAAACAACAGCGCCATCTGCTGGATTTTGTAAGAATGCAATTGCAAGATATTTCTCCGGTATTTCACCATTCGGGCTTTAACCTGAAACTACCCTGGCTTCCATGTATTTCCATGTAATAACGTAGAAAGTAACTCTATTCATAATTATATATACCATGGCATAGTTTGTAGCTTATTATTTCATGCTCAAACAAATCGTGGGCCATTTTCTTAAAACTATTTCTGTACATTTGGAATATTATTGGAGCAATCAAACCACTTTTTTGTATCAAATAATAGTAGATTTTTTGAGATGTTGATTGTCAAAGCACCTAACATCTAAAAAATCTCAAACATGGTCAGAATGGCAGACAATGGCAACAATATGAAAAGATGAGGCCGAAATAATAAGCACACCACTCCAATAAACCATAACATTTTTTGAAATTCTTTTATTCTGCTCTGGAATTTGTTTGGAGGACAAATTCAGAACAACTACATTCACTTTGAAAAGCTGTGACAGTTCAGATTCACTGCTAAAATCTCAAATTTATTACCAATAAAATACATTTACAAGGTGTTGCAGCAGACAATAATGAGAAACAACTATAAATGCCTTTTGTAAACAAAATATTTTTATTGACATATATTTATCTTTGTCACATCTTCTATAACTGAAATATGTAACCAGTGAATACCATTTTTTTCTTTTGGTCCTTAAGGGCTTCCATGGGGAAACAATAGACACAAACATCCCTAGTAAAACTGCATTCTTCTTCACTTTATAATAATTTCCTTTTAATTATTTGGAAAGGTATTGCACTCCAGAAGAAAATAATGAGTTGTTTGAATACAACTCTTTACACAAAAAACTTGTATTCAACTTTGGCTCTACAGCAGCAAGAGCTGAGACATTTTTATTGGTTTTCACAAAAAAGTGTAGAAAGCCTCATTTATTTGAATTGGATTCTTGGAATAAAAACCAGAAATAAAGAAGGAAAAAAAAAACATTCTCGTCGATGTTCATCTCAAAATTCTGTGTACTTCAATCATAGTAAAGTTGCATAGTAAAGTTTGAATCTCACAAAATCTTTCACATGCAAAAAATGCATTTAAAATGATTAACATTTTCCTTTATTTTTTTTAATGCATAATATGAAGGCATGTACTCTGCTAATTGCTTGTAGTGCTATAAGTGGTTTGTCTGATTACTGAGCGTAAAAACTGACCAAGGGTTTTCCAACTTGAAACTAGAACATGGTCAGTTTGGGTCTGATGGAACACAGTATAAATAATCATAGGCACTTTTTCCACTTCATTGTCCGTATGCTTTAATTTGCACATGAGGTTTCTCGAACTATTCGTTCCTTCTGGTTTCGGTAGCAAAGGGTAATGGGTCTTAACTACTTGCATGCCCACCCATTTCAACCAGCAAGCTCTATATGACATATAATTTGTTTAATATTTGCTTTAGCCAGCCAGCTCTATATCACAGATAATTTGTTCCATCTTTGCTTTGGAAACATCTCTTCTGAGTATCTTGTGTGAGTCCCAGGTGTCAGTCAGTAGATGTCACTAAAAACCCGACATCTTCTGATGAGGTATGGACTCCAACTTCTTAACCCTGGATTTTCTGTTTGGAATGGGACTTTTTGGCATACGCAGATCCCTTCAATACTCAGTGATACATTACATCCTTGAAAATGCCACTCACACTTCCAAGAACTGGCATTACACTGGCTTTAGTAAGCATTTATTTACTCAGCATCACATGCCATTACCCAGAAGACGAATGCCTTGAATTCATCGTCTTGTACTTGGGAAAAGAGAAGCAGCAAAGCTGTGCTGTTGTAATGAATGACTTTGCTTTTTAACTCGACATGTCGAATTGAAGCTGTGAAGACAGTTTGGCCTCACAAGTGTCACTTCTCTTCAAACCCAAACAGAGAAAGGGGAACTGGCTCTGATAGAGAGGACAGATAGTGAGGCAGCAGCTGGAAGAAGCGAACACCCTCTTCTGGTCTTAAAGCCAGCAAGGCGTGAACGAGTTCCTGCACTGCCATGTGGGCGAAGTGCATCCACACGCACGCGCAGTCCGACGCACGGCCATGATGAAGTAGTTCTGTGGCTTGTCAATTTTTTTTGTGTGTCTGTGTTCACCAAAACTTCCCCACTGCACATTTTGGTTGTCAGCGGAAGTTTTTAAAAGTGTGTCATGTTGAAAATTCCCACAAAACCCTCATTTTTAAAAACAGTTTTTTTTTTTTGTCCTGCACACAGATAAATATCCCATATCTGGAGCTTTACTGGCATGATGGTGGCATCATGCTGTGGTTATTACTGTTACTATCCATTCTGTGAGTGAGGCAAGAATGAGAAGGAAAGAGAAACTGCTGACTGAAATTAATTTGTGTACCTTTTCTCTCGTCCTTTTCTAACTGAATAACTGTTAGCCATTATTCATTTAGACCGAGACTCCTCAGCACGTTTTCCTGAGATCATGATGACCTGAAGAGACCTCTGATGTGAAATGGAACCAGTTTCTCATCTTAGAAATAGTCGAGTGTAAGATCCGACACCTGTCAGGCATCAGTGGGATGATCCAGGAACTCATTTACATTGAAGGCACTAGAATAGTTTCCCTTATCTTGCTGCAACAAAATGATTCTATTCTGCGCTTCGAGCAGTAAAACTGAGGCTTTTCTACCTCGTGGGAACGCTAAATGAGTATATTATTCTGGAGTGAGAAACCAGCACATGGTGCAGAGTGGTGTCCTTTGAAGCCGTGAACTGCAGATCTCTGAAAACCACAGCCTTAAAAAAAGAGACATGTGACCTTCGAGATAATAGGATGGGTTTTTTTTTTTGCTTGTTTTATATATTTTTTTTTTGCAGTCAGAATTGGCAAACTCGAACATCTCTAAACACTCTGCAGCTCTGATGACAGAACTGCTCTTTTATTTTTTTTACATCTTTATACAGACAAAATAAAAACAGTAGGTACAGCATAAATACAGTATTTTGTGCTGCTTTGTGTGAGTGGAAACACGTGGCTTTATGCAAACAGACAACCCCGTTACATACAGATATATGCATGCTAAGGAGTAGAAATACTCCCGCCGTAACTCTTTACAGGCCATCTTTTCAGATGGCCTGTGAGTAAGAACAGCCGTCACACTCCCACGACATCTATACTCACACACACTAACAAACGCCAAGGACAGACAGAGACGCTACTTTATGCTTTCATTTCTAATACTACCAGCTACTTATATGACTAAATCGCTGTCTGTCTCCATGGTGGTGACTGTTTGTGTGCATGAATGCAGTCTACTTGAGTTCTAGGCGGTGCTCGCCGCGGGCTATGTGGGAGGAGAACTCGTAACGGTCCCGGCTGCGGTGGCCACAAACGTTGCATTCGAGCGGATCGCGGAAGCCGTGGCATCCCATGTGGATGGTGAACATGACATAGTCCAGGAAGAGCACCCTGCAGTGGCCGCAGGGGTACACCGCTCCGGGTGGCGCCCCGGACTCTCCGTCCACCCGCATGACCCGCAAGGCCTCGAGGGGCGTCAGTGGAATGGGCTGGCTGTGTGGGTGTGGGACGCCGTTCTGGTGATTGATCCCCCCCAGCAGGTGACCCAAGCTGTACATGACGGGCTGGGTCATCTGGGAGCTGTCGTTGTGGAAGGAGTCCATGCCGAGGGGCGGCTGTGCTCCGTGGGGGAGGCCCAGAAGAGGCATCTTGTGGCCGTTGGTGAGGCTGATTGGGTTGATGTCGGTGCGGTTTAACGGGATGGGGTACGGTCTGTGAGTAGGAGGTGGGTCGCCATCTGGGCCTGCAAGGACTGTTTGCAGCTGGCCCTCTGGCCCAGGTGAGCCTGGTGGAGGTTCCTTTATGTCAGCTCGGTGGAGCAGCTCCCTGTTAAAGCTCAGGTCCAGGCAGACCCCATTGTCGCCTACACCAGTGACATGACAAGAGAGGACTGAAGATTCAATATGGGCTGGTTTCACATAATTCACCGAAGAGCATTACAGAACCTTGTTAAAGTAGGGTTACATTTTGACACGTTATAGCCACAAAGATCGATGTATTTTTTGGAGTTTTTCTACTGATTTTAGTGCAAATACCTTATTTGCATTATAACTAAGAATTAATATCGGCACAGATTAACTTATAATATGGGAAATGTGACTTGTTCCACAGAGATTGGTTCTCTTACAACTAGTATTTTTTTCATCAATATTAAGGAATCATTAACTTAAGACAAGGTATATCTTGCTGAAAAGTTACATATCAGTTAGGTTTGTCTTCTTTCAGGTGTACAAAGATATTTGGACTAGAAATCAGACAAAAAAAAATAAGATTTTGTGTTTTTGCCGCGTGATTGACCAACACAAAGTGATGTAATCTTGTCAAGTGGGAGGAAAACAAGTCGGGGTGTTTAAATATTCTACTCCAGTGAACATTTGTATTCATCCCCCTATAGCTTGTCTGTCACATAAACTCCCAATAAAATACAGTGAAGTTTGTGGTTTCAAAGTGACAAAGGGCTAAGAATACTTTTGCAAGGCACTGCACATGGACAAGCAGCAGAAAACTGCAGTCAGCGCGCTTATTGCTTACAGATGGGCAAGAGCTTAGACAGATCCAGATGGGGCTCACAGGGGTCCTCGCTTTGGTGTGCAGCGCGCACAGAGCAAAAAATGTGCACCCCATTTGGCTAACCTGGAGCGCAGGCACTTCATGGGACAAAAGAAGCTTAAAAGCAAGAAAACATCCTGAGCCAGGAGAGGACAGAGGGCTGAGAGGAAGCCGACGGCACAGACGAAGGTCTTTGTTGCAGCTGCTACAGAAGTATCGACAGAGAAACACCTGCTCACGTTTCTCGCCTCCCGCTTGTTCTATCTTTCTCTGTGGTTGCAGACTCTCTTACTTCTCTTTTCCCCTGTGGTTGTCATATTGAAAGATCTCACTTCATTTGCCAAGCTGATAGACGTAGGAGTGTTGTGTGTGTGTGTTAGTTAATGTGCATGCGTGTGTGTGTGCTCGCGGGAAGCTTGAGGCGTGATTGCGAAACTACAACCTCAATGTTGAGCTTAACCAGAGAGGTGAGAGGAGACTTGAAAAATTGTGCGTATGCTCATAAAGTTTGGGAAATGGCAGCGCCAACTCAGCCGTTTACTGAAACTGATAGCTTCTGATCATTCATCACTCCAGTGGATTATCCGAGTCCAATTCAAAGCAAAGAAAATGAGTAATACTACTGAGAACTTTCAGAATCATATTTCTTTCTTTCTTTGTTTTTTTTTTTTAACATAAATTTGTTCAATTAACCATGAACGGTCACATATACCCAACATTGACACCGCTCCGAGCAGAAAATCTAGATCAGTGGGAAGCACTCTGTGGTGTGAGCCAGGTGTTCTGGCCCCAGTTCTCATCTGGCCGGAGACAGACGCCAGCAAAGACACACAGACAAACAAGAAGCTCAGGCAGACAGAAATCATTTACAATAGACTACTTTATTTAAAGACCTTTAAAGCATTGCTACAAGCAAACTGTTGTGGACTTGAGAAAAAAGGCAGCAGCATTTACAGACGGAGCTGTTGGGGAAAATAGATGCAACTTAATACATAAAGTGCCTTGCAAAAGGTTACATCCATTTTGAACACATTAACATGTTACATTCACACACTTCAGTTGATTTCACCAGGATCAAATGTGACAGACCAAAACAAATGAGCTAATAATTGTTGATTCAAATGAAAACGATGCACAATTTTCAAACATCCTTTCTATGATGAAAAGAACCTAAAAAGTTATGATATGTCCTCTCCCCCTTTCATCTGCTACCCCTAAATAGAATCCAGTCCAACCATTTCCTGCACCTCATCAGTACATAAACTCCACCTGTGTGTAATTTAATCTCAGTGTGACTCCAGCTGTTCTGCGAAAACCTCAAAGGTTTATTAGAGAACATTAGTGAATAAACAGCCTCATCAGGCTGTGGAGACGTTGAAAATCATGTTATTTTACGGACGACACAATAAATATGCGCCATTAGACGAGAACCTTTTGGCCTCATTATTCTGAACACATCATTCCCAAGGGGAACCACGGTTTTGGCATTAATGAAAGAACAGCCTGACCAAGACCAGGGAACACAGCACAGGACTCTGGGATCAGGCTGGAACCAGGACACATTAATTCATAACATGCCAAGTTTCCAACATCATAAAGTGATCAATTCATTATATGAAACGTATTTCAGAATGAGTACAGCTCAAATATTTTCTGCCAAGACAAGACATAGAGAAGATTTTTTTTTCTTAGAGAAGCAGCCAAGAGGCACCAGTTACTCCACAGCTCAGATAGGAGAAGAGGATAACACCAAAACTAAATTTTTGACCTACGTAAAAAAGATGTTGGTGGCAGCATCATACCCTGGGAATGCTTTTCTGTAGCTCGAAGGGACCGAGATGATAGGAAGATGCTTGGAGTTAAATATAAGGCAATTCTGGGAAAAGTGTTATGGAAATGAACCACAACGGAGTTACAACGGAGGGATTGAGATCAAAGCAAAAATACAATCATATTTCAAATTTTTGCTGGTCTGTCACATCAAGCTCCAAATAAATACTCTGAAGTGTGTAGTTTTAATGTTACAAAAAGCAGAAAAGTTCAAGGGGTATCAAGACTTTTGCAAGGCACGGTTAACATGTCAAAACAACAGCAGCGATTGTAGCAAAAGCTAGTTTAAAAACAGGTGTAATTTCATTTAAAACACAAACGTAAGAACACAGCATGTTAGATAAGGTTGCTTTATAAAAGTATGCCCTTTTTGCAGTTTGAGGTATGCCACTGTGCTTACTCTTACCAGTGAACTTCTGTGGCATTGAACTTTTCCGCTTGGCAACGTTGCTGGCGAGCCTGTCGAGAAGCAGCGCGCGTTCTGAGCCCATCTGAGACCTGGCTGTGTGGCCGTCCTCTCCTTGACCAAAAAAAAAAAAAAAAAAGTAAGAAAAAAGAAAGAAAGACGGCGGCAATGTCAAGGAAATGAAGACCTATTGCAGAGCCACTGTTCTTCATAAAATGAAGTGCAAATAAATAAATAAACCAACAAGGAGGAACAACATATTAATTTGAGAGACGCTCCTCTGACCTCACTTCCTGTTTTTTTTTTTTTTTTTTTTTTTACCTCATCATTGAAGGAGGAGAGACCACAGGATGAGGATGTACTTCCTCACCACTACAGCACTATCAGGCAAAACTTACGACATTCGGTGACCACAGAAACAGTGCGCCTTCTTGTGTGTTGCAATCGTGCAACTGTCCTGCCGGTACAATAAGGCACAATCGGCAGCGGGGGCTGACGTCTTACATGAGTGTGCCTGCACTGGGCCGGCCTGGGCTCAAACGTTTGCCCTATTTGGCTTCCCCTTTGCTGATACAGACATGAGACGCGGTCTCCGCTGCACTGAGCCATCACACCACAGCAGCCATAACCTATTTAGTCTGTAATCATGGGGCACCAGCTATAAGTTCATTAATTTAATGAGGCCATAAAAACAGGATCTGCTGGCTTTTTAACTGCACGCCCGCTGTGTACGCTCACAAAAAAGAAAAAAGAAAAAAGCAACAACGTGTTTTTGTGGACTCGATGGCTGCAGCAGCTGCATGTGTGAAGTTTCGGAGGTGTTTTCAGAGAGTGTGACGGCTGCTCACCTCTCTCGGCGGGACCTTTGCTCTGAATGTACACATGGCACCTCTCTCTGTGCTCGTCGAGGGAGCTCCGCTGCTTGTAGCTGCGACTGCAGTGGTTGCACTTGAAGGGCTTCTCTACTGCGAGCAAGAGTTTCAGTTAATCACTAAAAACATCAACAGCATGAAAACTGGCACAGCACGTATGATTTCACAAAGTGTGCAGTTTCGCTCAAAACTGATGAGGTGTTTCTTTTTGCTTTTTTGTTTTGAGACTGACGGCAGGTAAAAAAAAAAAAAAAAAAAAACACGTGATTTGAAAGTGAATGAGTAAGTTTCCAGAGATGATTGAGTAGAAGATATCACAACTTGATTATGTGATGTTTGCGAGATTGCACGGTGGGGCTGTTACTGGAAAAGCCAAGAGCCCTCCCGCAAGCCCTCACGAGCCGAGATTCAAAAGGGAGAGAAAACCTAGACTCAAAGGAGTAACTGACATGGCATTGTTCGCAGGTGCATACAATATACGGGCGCTTTGACGCTGTGTGTGCGTGCTGAGTGATTAAGAACGCATGCATGTGGCTGGCTGCTACCAGAATGGGTGCGCAGGTGCCCGCTGAGAGCGTCGCGTCGTCGGCAGGCGTAGCTGCACATAGGGCATTTGAAAGGCTTCTCTCCGGAGTGCAGTTTGATGTGGCGAAGCAGGTTTCCCTTCTGGGTGAAGGAGGCCCCACACTGAGTGCAGTGGAATGGCCTCTCACCTGAGAAACAAAAAAATAACACTTAGAGGAAGGGGAAAAAAGGAAACCCACATGGTTTAACTCATTAGTTGCAGAAGAAACTTATATTTGCTGCTTCTATTGGCTTGTTGGTCACGGCATTGATATGATAAAGATGCATCTCTGTTTTTTGGGGGGTGGGGGGGTTTTGCAATTACTGTGCGTTTTCCCATTATTACAGTGAATTGCAAAACACAGAATCATTCACCATCTTTTGAAAGGGGAACGAAGCAACAGCCACTGATTGTCGAGAGAAGTCGTTCTCACAACTCAGACCACCAAGCGAGTTGTGCACAAGATGGTGAAAAAAAACCCCAGCCTCGGCTGAAAGCCGAGGTGTAACGCTTCACATGTTCCCCCACGTGTCCAGCTGATGGGGACTACGCCAGTTCGGCCTTCTGGTAGCGGCTCAACTGGAATGTACTGACTAAAGTATGCATCATCCACAAGGTTCCTCAACAATATCTTTACATTTGTCATTTTCAGAAAGTTCCCCATCATTTCTAGAAGTGTCTTCATCAGTACAGAAAAAAAAAAGATCTAAAATGCTACAATACAACATGTTCTATAGATGATACTCCAATGCATTCACTGATATGCCCCAAAACAAAGCAGTTGTTGGGCAGCATGTTGAACAGAATGTTTCTTCATACTGGAGGCAGAACTAAGTAACTGGAATCTGATAATCTGTGAACCTAGCTAAAGATTAGCAGGTCATTTGATTAAAAACCCTTAATCAAATAGGCTCATCACCAAAAATAAATAGTCAAAAAACCAATAGACGCATGCAAAAACTTGGTCAGCCATTTTAAGAAGGGTTTAATGTCAAAAAAAAATTTTCCACTGGCAATTGAGAAAGATGTATAATTTTAATCATGCCATGTTTTTGTAAAAATGTAAATGAAACGGAGAAAAGGATGTCCCTTTTAAACTGTCTTTTTATTTTTTGGTGTGAAATGTCTGTCATTTATAATCAGACCGAAACCTTTTGGTTGAAAGAAAAAAAAATGTAAATCTACTAGAAGTATGAATCATTTGGACTCAACTGTACCGGTAACCCAGCCGAGGCGTTTGTAGGTTTGGTTCTGTAGTAGTGATGGGTAATAGTTACAAAAGTTGATGATGAAGGTTCCCACACATTTTCTATTTCAGAATTCCACACTGAATTTTCAGGTTTTGTGGTGTACTAGAAATTGCTACGAGATTTGTTTACAATGAAAACTGTACTGCAGTACAGTTTTCATTGTAAAGTAAGACTAGTAAGACTCAGGTCTTACTACGTGCATGTTTCACAGACGAAGAAATTCAGAGTTGTTCCACTATTTCGGAATCTGGAGCTCCGGCTCCAGTTGAAAATCTAAAATGCTCTCACTGGATTCTTTTTATATTTAAACCAAAACAAACTCTTTAATACCGTTATTATGCTTAGTAAGCAGAATAAGCCTCTTAACTCTTAAAGTTAAGAGGCTGCTTCACAAAAGTAAATAAATGTTTACCACTTCAATAGTAAATATTTCAGGGTGGTGCGTTGCAAAACGGTGGAGCAGGTGCCCCGTTTCCAGAGGCTATTACACGTCAACCTAGCCATATGAGCCTCCATTACTGACTTCAGCTACATGTGTTCCCCTTTCTCTCGCTGCCAATTTCCTTTATAAATACTGCAAATAAAGGCCACAAGTGTTTTTGGTCTTTTTAGTAGCGTTATTGAACGCATTTAGAGCCCCATAAACAAATATTGCTCATCACTTAAGCCATCACTGAGGTCGTTACTGTTAAACAGCACAGAAAAGCTGCATTTAGCTGGAATTTCAAATGATGCTCCTCCAACATCAAAGTCAGTTTTTGGGGGCTCCAAACGTCAGAGTTTACCGTCATCACCAAATATTAAATTTGTCATCATGTCTTTCCCCTCTTTTCCCCCAAATAAAACAAAACAATAATTACTCATTCCTAGCATTACTTAGGTCACAATGGACTTCTTGTATGGAAAAGTTCGCCATAAGTTGGCCTTTACGGGGTCTCAAATTAGTGTTAAAAAATAGATTCAAGTGGCGACTCATTTGGAGCCCATATGGTCCCACTTTCTAGCCAGGGTTTACCTGCATCACAGTTACAGGGGCAATTTATGTGCAACCCACCGGCGATGTGTTACATCCAATACAGGGTCATTTTCCAGTTCATTTCCTGCTTATCTGGAATTGATATGAACTTACATTTGAAATCCATAAAATTCAGTGTTTGCAAAAATGTTGTAAAAAGAAACTATTTGGGAACATCTTAAATTTCAAATAGTGTCCTCGCAAGACTTTCCTGAAGTCTGGTTCAGTTTACAAAACCTATAAAAGGAAACAAGAAATAAACAACAACTAGTAGTGGAGGTCTGAAAAAGTGTTAAACGTCAGCAAATAGGTGCTACACCACCAGGGCACCCATGGGACGCTTGCTGACCCGAAGGGTGTTTTTATGGCGTTCGTAACTCACTCCCGTCACACGTGCGTCTCAGTGGGGAAAAGACGTCAAGTTTTGCTCCAAGACCAAAACTTTGACTATTTTTCATACTGCATCTTTGCATGCTCATCTGAACACTTATCTGTCATTGCCATCAAATCAAACAGTTAGCTGTTTCTGTGCTCGTCGGTGAACTACAATGGAAGATATTTCACAACCAGATCCCGCCTGCCGATTAGGTGGCAATGACGTGCCAAATGCACGCAGAACAAAAGCACTGACCCCATCAATAAGAATAATTATCAGATGATCGTGCAGCTGTTTGTCTGTTTCAGGTCAAGTGCTCTTATGTGATTTTTTTTTGGTTTAGTTTTGGTGCTTACCAGTGTGGCTGCGCTTGTGCACTAGCAGCACATTAATGCTGATGCAGGAGAGACCGCAGATGTCGCAGCTGAGTTTCCCCTGTGTCGGAATGCGGGGCGCTGTGGATCCGGGCGTGTAGCCCCCGTCTGCAGCCTCATCCAACGCACCTGTCGTTTGGCCGTCTGGCAGGGACGCCGCTTCGTAGCGCGAGTAGTCCACCAGTGACAGGTCTTGCGGCTCGTTTGTGCCGTCCTCGTCTCTCGGCTCGTCGTTGTCCTCCTCTGTCCTGTCCTCGTCAACACCTTCCTCCATCCCGTCCTCGCTGTCTCCCTCCGCTTCCTCTTTGGGCACAATCACTGCATGCTCAGTATCGTCCGTCTCCTCAGCTTCGGTTTTTATCACACCTAGACAAAACATGCAAGTAATAAAAAAAAGCAAGGCAAACATTTAGAGACCTTTCTAATCACACATGTGGAGACTTAAACCGAACCATATGAGAACAACTAACGTGTAAAACATTTCCCACTTCCAAATAAGGAGATAAAAAAAGCTATTGGAGACTGTACTGCGAGCCAGAAAACAAAACAGTCATGTCTTCACTTCTACTTTTATATTTAAAGTTCAATATTAGCACAGGCACGTCTCCAAACTGTGGGGAGCTTAATTTGGGCCGACGTTTAGTGTCTCAAAGAGATTCAGTAGATGTGCGCCTGAGATAAGAGGAAAGCGTTTCCTATCAATACACAGAAAGTAGAACCAGGACAGGAGAAAAGCTCGGCAGGCGCCTCAGACAGATAAAACCAGTTCCCTTTGCTTTAAAGGAGTCAGTGTGTTCATCAGCACTGTCACACATACTCCCCAGTAATAATATGACCTGCTTTTTTTTTCTTTATGGAGCCTGTTTATAGCCACAAGATGTCAACATACAGTGTCCTACGAAAGAGTTCCCTCCACTTTTCACATTTCTCATGTCAGAACTAAAAATGTCAATGCATGTAATGTTATTGGGATGTTTTGTAATAGTTTTGCACAAAGTAGTTCATGACTGTGAAGTGGAAGGAAATGCATGTTTTTCTGCAACCCAAAAATGTAAAAAGTGCTGCTTGCATTTTGAATTCAGCCCTCCTGAGTCGACAGCAGCATGTAGAACCACCTCAAAGTTTCATGTCTTGTGGGGTATGCTCTTGTGGCGCTGCACGTCTGGTGTCTGATTTTGTTCCTTATTCTTTGGAAAATAGCTCAAGCTAAGTCAGGTGAAATCTAAAGCATCTCTAAGCAAGACATTTCGAGTTTTGCCTCCGATCCCAAGTATGATTTAGCTCTGGACTTTGACTGGGCCATTCCAACACACAGATAAGCTTTGACTTGGTACACTACTGTAGCTCTTGCAGCATGCTTTTTGCCATTGCCCTGCTGAGAGGTGAAACAGTTGAGCAACTTCTAACAGGTTCTCTTCTACGACTGCCGCGTATTTAGCTCCATCCATCTTCCCATCAACTCTGACTGGTCTTTGTGATAATGCGTCACAAAACCATCATCAATGCATGATGCTGCGCAAACCATGATTCATATGTGATGTGTAGTACTGATGTGTACTTTTCCACCATTTAGATCAAGATAGTCTTGTATGTAGGCTAAAACCTTCACTTGAGCGTTTGATCGATGCAGCTCCTCCAGAGTTACCATACAGCTCGTTACTCAGCTGGTCAGTTCAGTGGACAGCTATGACGGATACATTGTGGGACTAGATTATATTTAGGAATATCAGAATAGATATGGTTGAACAGAAAGACACAACCCAATGAAATACAATGAAGTCTGTGTTTGTAAAATGGCAAATTGCAGAGAACTACTTACATTAACTCAATTAAATTTGAGTAGCTTTTGTGAAAAAATACCTTTCGATGTAGTTTTACTTTTTACTTGAGTAGTATTGTTATAAAGTATCAATACTTTTTCTTTAGTAAGTCTTCTGGCTACTCTACCCACTGCAAAAAACTTCAATAAATGAAAAACTGGCTTGAAAATGCTCACTAGAAGTTATTTACATTGTTCTAACACAGTTATAAAGCTCCAGCATTAGTTTTAGAAGTTCAATATTCAACGAATTGGATTTGGAAGACAGTTTCTTCTGTCTGAATTTGTTATTTTCTAAAACATTTTTTTCATTTCAGACTTTAAAACACCAGTATTTGCCATGTAGATTTATTTTTGTCCATCAGACATCAAATGAACCAATTAGTACTTGAGCAGCCTTTTCAGAAGCGTTTTACTCTTGAGTAATTTGTTACATAATTACATTTTACTTTTACTTGAGTAAAATATAATGAAGGAATGCTCTTCTTTGTCCACCTCTGACAAAATGTGTAAAACCTTTAAGGAATACTTTTGACCGGCACTGTGTGTTTCACCATGACAGCTTAGAGGAATCCGCTTGCTGAATGCACAGTTATCAGCACCGCAGCTGCTGACATGCAGAGTCCTGAGGCTCATCTTGCAGGACCTCTCACCTAGCCTCTTGCTAAGTGTGAACCAACCCTGAGAGCTACTCAGTTCCATCCAGAAACCACACTGTGGTCTTGGCGGTGGCTGATGATGAGCTAAAGAGCAGCGCCTTGTATTGTGGAGAGCGCTCAGAGGTGCTATGGAAACTTTGCAAGCACAGAGATCTGTGACACTCAATATAGAGTCCAGGGTCTCTGAGAGCAGTGAACCGCAGGGCCGTGCAGCAGAACGCAGAGCGAGGCTTTAGGAAGTGCACCCGGTCGGCTAGATGGCAGCCAACCAGAAATAAGAAGGGAGCGACGCCTGCACACAATGTTCTCTTCTCAACACTGAGGACTGAAGTCAAAAAACTTTTGGAGTTGGAATGAACTGTTACGATTGGCAACTTGCTGTTCACTGAGGGTCCCAGACTCTCTGTCAAATTAAACATTTCCAATTCATTAACATATAGTGGAGACAAGATACAGTTCAATTTCCCCACTAAAAATTTATTAATGAAAATGAATGGAATTGAAGTTTATTCCAATATATTTCATGGGAATTAATGAAATCTTAAGACAAAATTGTGGATACTGATAGAAAATGGAGAGTAGGACTTGATTACAGTTTCTCTTCCAGACTTCCCTTTTTTTTTTTTTTTACGTTAATTTACTATATCTAAACAAATATAGTTCCTTCATTTGTCTATTTACAGATCGATTTCAATATTTTTCCCCAAAATCTGTAGAACCGGGTTCGAGTCTCGGCCTGGCAACCTTAGTCGCATGTCTTCCCCATTCTCTCATCACCCACATTCCTGTCAATTCACCATCCAATTAAGGCCACAAGAGCCAAGAAAACCTGTTTTTGTTTTTTAAATTATTAGGTATAGCAAACACACCATGCCGGTCAAAAGTATAGTCTTGCAGCTTATCTTGACCATGATAATTTGGGAAAATTGATTTTCAGTCTCCTAATTGAATAAATAAAGGTAAACAAACTACTAATTACACCAACAAATGCTTTATTTCCACAAAGAAAAAAAATACTATATTTTAATTAGCTCTCTGGTATTTGCAGTTGTACTTTTTCTTAAGCGTGCTACTGTAAGATAAACTGCAAAATGTATTTGTTGAGAAGTAAATTGTGCATATGTGTGAGTGTGTGCACTTACGTGCTTCCATGACAGGATCCGAGTGCATTCCATTCACGATGACAGAGGCGTCTTCCGTCTGCTCTTCTTCCTCCTGCGCGTTCACCTCTGCAGCCTCACTGCATGCTTCTGAAGACAGGCACAAATCAATTCTCGTAATCAGTTTCTCGTCAATTAAAAATAAAACCTGGAGGAGTCTTTTAACACCAAGAAATGAATATTCAAATATTCCCTTTTAGCAATTAACACAAAGAAAATTTTTCTCGCATGCTTTACGGAGACACAAAGTCATTTATGATGTTTGCAGCTTGCACAAATTCCACAAATACGTCTCAGTCTTTTCGAAACGGTGCTTCAGGTCAAATGGCGGTTTCTGCGGAGGAACGGGCTCAGACTGATCACGTATGTTTTCAAATTCAAGAACAGGAATGAGCTACTCACCCATCTCGTCCTCCTCTGGGGATGTAACTTCAGGATGCTTGCCTGTGCTCATGGTGAGATGCTGGTAGTTTGAAGGTCTTATTTAACGGGTCCGGTTGGGTTCCTGTGCTGGGCAATTTTAGAACCAGGTTTGTGAGAAGGAGTTCACAGAGCAGTGACAATGTGAAAGGGCAAATGTGTTCCCCACATTCATCCTGCTGCTTTAATATAGGATTAATATAACATCTCACAACCCTATTAAAAGATATTCTGGCTATTTCAATGAAGCCTGTTAAGAAATAGAAGCAACACTTGTCTCTCACTGTTCCTGTTGGTTGGACAGCATAAAAAAGAAGCTTACAAAAATAAAAGTGCGTGAAAGCCCACGGTTGATTGCTCGACCCTGTCTCTACATTTAGCCTTATGAGAAAGACAAGATATTCTCTCTACACACGCATTTCCTGCTGGGTTGGTACATAGGAGTGAATGTAAAAGAGCTTTCCACTCCAGCAGCCCAAACCTCCTACCACTTGTGGCCATAGTTTCGAAAACGAACATCCATCCTACTGCGTGTTTCCAATTAAAGATGCTACAGAGACACCTCCACAGGTCACAGAGGAGTTAAGAAAGTTAATTCAAGTTTGAAAGCTTCTATGAGTCATAATAGTAAAAAAAACAAACAAAGATAAATACAAAAAGTTAAGGTCTTCTTCTCATAGTTCTCACAAGCTCAAAAAAGAAATTGAGAAGTGTGTGTCCACATGTTGCAGTTACTGCTAGGACCCACTTTTTTAGAACAGTTCATCTCATTACCTTATAATCTCTCAGGTTTGGATATTGCTGAAGCTATCGTACCTTCCAGTTGCTCAGCACCAGAGGAGAGGAAAGCTGCTCTGGTATTTCCCCACTCCACCGCTGGACTTTCTCTGAATATGGATCCTGCGCAGCGTGACTACGGTGAATGCTGGAGCGATCCCTTAAAGGAACAGGAACTCATTGAGAACAAGGTGGAGCAACAAAGACTTCACTTCCAGTAGAAAGGCGCGAGCAGCTCAGACGACCCAGAGCAGTCGAGGTGAAACTCAACCCATCAGCTGTTTCCACTGGGCCTGAATGTGAAGACTCCACCACACCATATCCTAATAAAAGGAAACAAAGAGTGGATTAGGCTTTTGATTTAATTTCTCTCAGTCCTCACTGTCCCTGACTTGTTTCAATTTAAGGAGCTTTAATTCCATCTTGTGGCCAAACTAGAGAACTGCTTTTCACAGCAATTCTACCTCATAATGGTGAAGCAAAAAAAGGCCTGCACTATTCCTATAGCATTTCTGCTGTTGCTCACGGAGAACAACGCGAGCTAACTATGTGTAATGTCATGTGTGTTGATATTGTAGTTATACAGAGGAGAAAAAAAGTACTCCAAGCCTATTTAAAGATAGTTAAAGCAAACACAAACCAGTATTTATTGATGCTCACTGATATTAAATGTTTATCATGTTATGCGTTTTTCAGCCATATCGCCCCGTCATACTCAGGCTCTTGTGGCATATTTTTAATAAGTCTACAATACAAACTTAAAAAAACGAAATAAGTCGTATTAACCAACTTATTCTGGTCTAAATAGAGGAGTCGGTAGTTTACTGTGTTGAAACCTGACTGAAAAACCTCCATAATATTATGTTCATCTTAAAAGGGCTCAGAAAGGATGACTAAAAAAAAATTGAAATGAAAGACAGCTTGGAGATAGGCCTAAAATTTGCTAAAGCAATTTGGCCACAGCCAGGTTTCTAAATTAGAGGCTATACCACATCGTAAAAGGTGCAGGGACAATGCCTGACTGCAAACTGTCAGGCTGTTTACAGTAGCGAGGATGACCTTCTCTATGCTGGGTGAAACCTCCTTAAAGAAGCGAAGGGGAGAAGGATCACAAGTAGAACCCAGAGGCTCCATGTTCAACTCTATCCTTAAAAAAAGGTCAGATTCACTGGTTCAAATTGATCTAACACAGATGGAGAGTGGATCAAACAAGAAGGATCACAAACAGATGTTGAGATAAGGGTTCTTGCAGCAACTATCTTTTCTCTGATGAAGTCGTTACATGTTTCAGAACACGCTTCTAGGCAGACAGGTTGTGGGGCATTTAGAACCAAGGCAATCAATTTAAACAGCAGGCATGAGCTATTCTCACAGGACACAATAATGTTGGATATATCTTCCTTCTAGCATCTTTAACCGTGTTCTGATAACATTGCCAGCACTTCTTGAGGACCTGGAATGAAAACTGCAATTTATCTTTCTTTTTATCTCCCCCACTCCTGAGTTCAATTTATCCTTTTTATATCCCACATGTGGGATGTTAAAAAGTATGTTCTGCTATGCTGCAACAAGAAAAAAATAAGGCACAAATAAACATAGTAAGAAAATAACTTTATAGTGATCTACATTTAGCTCTAACTACAGTGGAACTGAAGCCAAAAGAATCCTCTTTGTGATCTGGGAGCACTTTTTTATTACCTTCAAGTCACTTTTATTCTCCCCTGGCTCCACTGTATCGCTGCCCTGTAAGGCAAAATCTTTTATTCTGTTTTGTGTGCAATGGCACATTTGTAAAGCTAACCAAATTGCTGATTCGCCACCAATCATTAATTGCCAGTGTGCTTGTGCTACCAAAGAACTATAAAAAAACGAAGAAAAAAAATAATAAAATCAATCTTTTACAAGGATCCTTGAGTTCGGTTTTAAAACAACTCCCCCATCAAAGCACATGCCAAGGATGTGTCCGATAAATTCCCATTTGGCGTTTTGAACTTTAACGTGCCGACCATAACCCGCTATGCACCCCTCACATCTGGTCCTGTCGCATTTTATTGTCTCTATCCCTTCACCCTCCTTCTGTTCTTGTAATTTTTCAACTCTCAGCAAAAAGATTTTGCCATAAAATGCAAAAGAACTCCCCCAAATACTTTGTTCTCGTCACAAACATCTGCTTCTCATGATCACAAAAATCTTATTAAAACAACCTGCATCAAAGTATAATATCTGAAAATTATAGAATTAAGTAAAGAAATACACATTTTATTTCTAGATTTGCTTTTTTGTCCAATATAATTCTGTTTTGTCTCGAGTTTAATCTAATTTGGGAAATCACACGTTATTTCAGGCCTGCAACACATTACAAGAAAGCTGAGATAAGATGAATTTTTGGTTAGCCTGCAAGCAAAGAACTATATCTGACAAGAGAAGCCTGAGGTGATTGCTATAATAACTTGCAGGATTCACAAAAGCTCTCTCTATAAAAGAGTCTGAGTTATTTTCTTTTTTTAACTGCATACCATCATTGACAGGTTATGTGCTTATTAGAAGAATCAGTTTCATAAATATTTTTTGATTTTCTCCCATCTATAAAAAAGCAATCCAGACCTTTCTCAGAAACAAGTCAAAAAGCCAGACTGTGAACTATGATTATTTAGGGTTGAATCTGTGGCTCTGACAAAGTTTATTTCCACATCTGTGACAGAAACATTAAATTGAATACTTTGAGATGTTGGAGAAACATTCTACTTATCATCTCGTTTTGTGTAATAATTTGTTCAGTGATACAGGTTGTTACATTTTCTACCACACTTTGTGTTTTGCATGCATTAAGAAAAGGATTGGTGTCATTCTTCATCAGGTAAAGACCTATTATGGCTTTGTTTCAACAATGGCTTTTTTCCCTACTCCTCTATAGAGACCATATATGTGGAGTCAACAAATCAGCTCCTCCAAAGTTACCACTATGCGCACCTATGATCAGTGTTTGGCTTGGCCTGTCTACTTTAGGTGGACAACTATGTGTTGGTAGGTTTATAGTTTTACCATACACTTTCCATTTCGGGATGATGGATGATGGTTTTAACATTGCTCTGTGAAATGTTCAGTATGGAATATTGTTCTGTAACATAACCCTACTTTAAACTTCCCCACAAAAATTTTCCCTCAGCTGTCTGCTGTAATCCTTGGTCTTCATGATGTTTTTCATTCTTCATACAAAGACCAGAGTCCCTCACAGAACAGCTGTGGCTTATATACACACATGTGGACTCCCAATTTTAGGACATCTGAAAGCAACTGAGTGTAATGGATTTTATTTAGGAAAAACGGTGGAAAGGGGACCGAGTAGATAAACAAACTACACTTTTCAGCACACAGGACTTTTCATTTTAATTCCATTTCACGAGCTCAAAATACATAGACATTAGTGGTTGTAACATGTTAAAGAGTTCAAGGAGCACACATATTTTAACAAGGCACTTTATCTGACCTTCATCTGCCAAGCCACTGTTAACCTCTAAGAAGCCCATCCTTTGTTCACTACCCCCACCCCTCATAAATGCCACAGAATATAATGGGGGCTTGCTAACTACCTATTGGTTAGTTCACCGTTTTACAAGTTAGTCATCCTAATAAAGGAGCTTTCGAAAAAGCCAACAGATGTTTTCTCGTTAATGTGCGACTCAACAATAACAAGATTGGCCACGGTGTAGAACGGCCTGTGTAAACAAACATGCAATCACTGCCATGGATAAAGCAACCCTCAAGGAGATTTCAGTAACAAGCCATGCCGCCATTCCCACCTGAGTGGTGCCTTGTGAACATTTGGCTGCTGCCCATGGCCTGTCTATGGCAACCAGCCACGAGCTTGGAAAAAAAAAAAAAAAAAGCAGAAAGAACGCACGCTCACAAAAGCATTACAATGCATGCTGGGTTTCCATGGCAAAACGAAAGCAAAGGAACACAAGAAAAAAAAAGTGAGATGTCGACCAATAAAAGCCATTAAAAGCTGGGTGGAGGGCATATCTGTTCACACTGGCAAACAAGAACAAAGTACAGTCTTTCATGATCAGAAACACACATGATAAACTGTCCCTGCTGTGCAGTGTCATTTAAACAGAATCTTGAAGGGTGGGAGACTTTTTTTTAGGGCTGGTGGGGGCAGGGCAGGATCAGGAAGAGTGGTGTTTTGAGTGTCCCTTTGCCTTTTATAGCTGCCCACCTCTGTGAGCAGCAAGGGAGAGAAAGGGAGATCTGGGAACTGACATAATGAAGCAGGGAGTGGAAAGGGGAATCCATAAAAACACACCGAGACCTTGTTGAGGGAGCAGAGGTTGTTTTGTTGGCTGAACAATAATTAGCCCCAGAGATATGTACATGGATTTTCTACTTTTGGGGTTGATTAAAGAGAAGAGCACCTGAGGGGTTCCTGCTTCTTTTCAGAACCAAATGTATCATTTTGCAGACTGCAAATCAATACAAGAGATTTGCATTGGTGTAAAATACACCAAATCTGAATGGATAGTGAGTTAGAACAAGTGAGAAGGCGATTCAGCCGTTTTCCTCTGTGCAATCAGGACTGGGAGAGGACAAGCAAGGGGGAGTGTGCACAAGTTTGCAGGTCTGAGAGTGTGAGAAAGCTTTGGAGAGACAGAGGGAGACAGAGGAGAGAGCTTCAGCCTGGCTTTTCTCTGCTGCGTCTGGAGAGAGAGGCGTGTCCACGGACCAGTATAAAGTCCAAAGAGAGCGACTCGCATTGAGACATTCTCAGAAGACGGTCCTTTGTGTTGCACACTGACCAGAGGAGGAAACTGTGGCGATTCTGTTTTTGATGACCAGCTTTGCATATGGACACTTGTTGACTAGGCATTTTTTGGCGTTTCCTCAAAAGGTGGATGATACCTGAAGAAATCACTTGTATATCTTTCAATCTCAACAAAAAAATATTTTTTAATCACCAGAACATTCTCTAGCTGATAAAAGGCAGGCTCCAGTTTCTGCACTGTGAAACTGAACCAGAGGAACAGAGAGGTAATACAGCTGAGGCATTGTGTCCTTGCAGTCGAAACACTAACCGCCTGACATATCAAAAGATTCCTGGACAAAGTGTTCCTCTAAAACCTTCTTTGTCTGTCTAAAGTCTGCTGTTAGAGAGGAAAGTCATCAAAAAGCAAGAGAAGGGAGGGGTGAACCTGAGAGGATCCTTGACAAAGGGCAAAGGACTACGTGCAGGTGTCTGAGCTGTCATGGTGCGAGGACGTGGCGTGACTTCAACCTGCTGGGGCCTGTGGACATTCAGTGCCCTGTCACTGGCGGTACTGTGCTTATCGGACCAGGCCATCCGCTGTCCAGTGTGCTCCGAAGAGAGGCTGGCCAGCTGCCGTCTACCCGAGGGTTGCGAAGAAACAGTGCGCGAACCTGGCTGTGGCTGCTGCCCCACCTGTGCTCTTCCGAAAGGGGCACACTGTGGTGTGTACTCACCCCGATGTGGCACTGGCCTCCGATGCTACCCACCACGGGGTGTGGAGAGGCCGCTGCATTCCCTGATGCATGGCCAGGGCATCTGTACAGACGAGAGGGAAGTGGAGGAGAACTCGGGTAAGAGCAAAAAGATTGAAGTATGCATCCTTACTGCCTCTGCCAGGCAGACTCATGACAGGAAAGATTTTTAGGAAATGTCCAATTACAATCCTTCAGTCCCAGTTGACCAGGTCAAATTCCTGCTTCTTTGCTCACTTGGCCTTACCTGACCTGGGGAGTGGTTGTGACAAGGTCCTGCGTGTTCACCCTAATCTCAGCTAAGCCGTGAAGCAGAGCATGCTTCCTGTCGGCCAAGCTCGCACAGTCCCTCTGCTGTCTCCTGGTTGCTCGCTGTGAAAGGAGCCCTGCTGTGCAGCGCAGGCTTAAGACATGCGAGAGTATTCGTGTTGGCTGGAGCAGACATTGTGTGCGAGAAGTTATGCTGTACCTGTTTCAATGAAAGAGTGGATTAAAGAGATCCTGCAGGGAGCTGTCAGGCACAGGCAGGGATGTACACCATTGCTGCGGTGTAAATGTAAGTCTGTGTGTGCCTTTGTAATGGGAGGAGGTAATAAAAGCTGCTGTATGAAATGTCTGTAATGGAGTGAGGCCAGTCTGGGGCTATTAGCGCTCTCTGCAATCAGTAATTCACTTGGTGCTCTTTCATGGATATCCCCCTTCCTCCTGTTCCTCCTGCTGCTGCTGCAGATTTCAAACAATTCTTGTCCTGATGTCTCTATCAAGCTCTTCGGAGCTTTGGGCTCTCCTTTTCTCTCCTCCAACTTCTTTTTGTTATAGTGTTCTTTTGAAAATACGAAAAAAGTCTGCATCCAGTTTTACACAGTTGAAGGACTAATTATTGATGTTTTATTAGCTCAACTTCTCTTTGGAGATGATATGTACTATGGTGTTTTTGAGGAAAATCTGACCGATCTAATAACGTTTTGAAGATATGTGAGCTGTTGCGCTTCTTATGCTGCAATTGCTCCTGCTGAACTCAATCTCCCAGATCATTACTGGCCTCTGAGAACACCAGAGAAGTAGATGAGGCTCAGCCAATAGAAAGCTCCCAGGGGGTGCATCCTAACTGCAGCATCTGCTCCCCCTGACCCGATCCACCCCGCCTCCTGTGTGCCCCGACGAGCCTTTGAGCGCATCGCCCACTGCCTCCAGCTCCTTGATGAGGATGAGCTCATCGTCACCCTGGCTGCCAGAGCTGAAATTAGAGCCTTCTGCTCTCTGTGTGCATGACCGGCATAGGTTAGCATGACTAAATGAAGTCGGAAAAAAGAAAGGAGCTGATTTTTTGGAGTTTGATTGAAAAATAAAAAAAAAACAACAAAACAAACAGCTGTATGCATTTGTCTCAGCTTTCATCAGTCCACACCCGAATGTTACTGCTGCCCTTTGATGTTGGGCTGATCATTAAGTATCCCTGCAACAAACAAGTGAGAAGTCAGGTCTGTTTTTTTTTTCTAGGAATGAAAGCTTTTGGAAACTTTTGTGTTTTGAGTGTTCGGTAATCTGAGTGTTGAGTCTCCATTGCACCTCCGTAATACCCCAAAGACTCTGTCATAACAAAGGGGTGCAGTTTCCCCATAAACCAAACTGTAAATCAGTTCTACCAAGGCTTCTAAGATCCAGTGAATATGAGGAGAAACAATCAGAAAAAGAGGAAGTGGAAAAAGGCAACTTCATTCACAGGCAGTAGATTTCCATTGTGGCGCATTCGCTGCACTTATGCATTATTAAACAAGGGGGTGCATCTCCTGAATACATGCCCCACTCCTAGCAACAGTGAACATGCAAGATAAAAATAGAAGAGGGTTTTTAAAAACCAAGAGGATTCATAATAAAAGGAGCTAGGATGCAGCAAGGCACATCTTTGCTGAAAGGATGTTCAGGGTGGATTTAAGAGCCCTGCTTGAAAAAATAATTTTCAATACTATTTTTTGTCATTTGATTTCACCACTGACAAACTACGACATAAAGCATAAAGAAAATGACTTTTACCATCTCAACAACAGGCGCTCTACTGACTCATGTTAAAGTCAAGGACCTCTTGAGTGTTTCTTCTAAGAAACACTCAGTCTTAATACTCAGAATAAATCATCATGCATGTGTTGGCATACATCCCTGCGTTCCTGCCGAGAGAACCCGGGTGTCGGGTATTGGGGCACTTCTCTCTTGTGGCTAACGCAGATATCGTTTACGACCTGACTCATACCAATGTCAGACTTTGAAAAGTGCTACAACACCCGGTCCCAACAGGATTTGATGAATAATGCTGTCAGTAACGCTGGACTCTGTTTGACCACACTGAGTTTGTTGTGACGCACACGTCATTATGAAAGCCACACACTAATGTAGATGAGGTTTTTCGGCAGTTTCAAACAAGTTGAAAATCTAAATTTCCCTAGATTCTGTTTATTTATAAGGATTTGGTTTATAAATAATACAATGGTAAGGCACAGGAAAAATCGAATCCAACTTAGAGGTCTTCAGTTTCCCTGAATCTCATTGGCCAAAAACACCATTGCAATTGCACAAGCATTGACAAAGCCTCTGCCTCTTTTAAATCTTTTGTATGACCACATTTTGGGTACTTCGTAGAAAAAACAAATGTTGAGATGTATATCAATGCTAATACTTGACCTGTCTTACTGGTGCCTTGCTAAAGGTTCCAAGTCTGAAATTCTGAAACTGGTCAAACACCACCATAATAATTCTAAATTGTTGAATATGTACAAAACTTTTTTCTTATTTGTGAAAACACACAAAAATTGGATATTTAAATGCTTTGAGGGGTATACAGCTCTTCTCCAAATCTTTCATGTTTCAAGGTTGATGCTGGACAACTTCACATTCCCTACAAAGATTTTCTTTTGGGTTCAAGTCTGGAGACTGGCTAGGTCACTGCAGGACCCTAAAGTGTTTCTGAGAGCAACTCTTGAGATACCCTGGCTGTGTTTGGATCATTGTTATTCTAGAAGACCCAGTCACGGTCCATATTTGGTGATCTTACTGATAGGAGCTTGTTGCCCAAAACATATCCATTCCGTCCCTTTTGCTCCTGAAAAGCATACTTAACACATGATGTTTTCACATACATGCTTTATGGTTGGGATGATGTTCTTGGGATAGTACGCTAGTTCTTCCTCCTCGTCAAAACACAGCGAGTTGAATTTATACCAAAATGTTCTACATTGGTCTCTTCTGAACACACGACCTTCTCCCATACTCCATCTAGCTTATCGAGATGACAAACTTCAGATGGGCTTCCGGGAGATCTCAGCTGCACTATCGGATTTTAATTCATGACAGCTTAGTGCTATCATGGTAACCTTTGAGACTGTAGTTTGGACTTTAGTCCTGATCATTGATGCGCCATGAAGGGAGCTCTTAGATGAAACCCCAATCCAAGGGAGATTGACTGTTATCTTGAGCTTCTTTCAATCTCTAATCATAGAGCCAACAGTTGTTGCTTTCTCACCAATATCAATGCCAAACTGTACACCTACCCATCCACGCCTTGGTCAGGTCTACAACACAGTCCACAATGTCCCTGGCTCTCTGCTCTTGACCATTGTGGAAAGTGTGCTTCTTTTTAAACCCCATTTGTTTTTACATGAGGACGTGAAAAAATAGTATTTAAAGATTTAGCTTTAGAACGGGCTTTCTTATATGTTATACAAAATAATATCAAGCTGCATATACATTTTGTTTGATTAAATTTAATCTTTCTTGGGATTTCATCTTTTTAAAAGTCTAAGTTTGCATCAAAGTATGGACGTATGAATTCCTTTCAGGGCACTGAAATTTGAGATTTCTTTTGGCAGATGTTCTTTAGTGTTGTCTATTTGCTTTCTTTGGGCTGTGCAGTACATTTGGACAGCTGGAGCTGTTATCATGGAGACACACCAACATTTCAGCTTGTCCTGCCCATGATAGTTTATACTGTGAGGACAATTAATCATTGTGGGTCACTACATCATCTACTGATAGTAAAGGAACATTTATTCCCACTTCCTAAGCACTTTTTAACAAGTTTAAAAACAGAATAACTCCTCTTAAAAGAAGAACGGCAGTATTGTTTATTTCTGTGCATTATATTGGTGAATTCAACTTGAAAGTGGAAACAAAGGGTGCATTCCAAAGTAGTTTAGCCTAATTCAGTGCTGCTGTAGATTTCCTGAGGCGAAAGACACACAATCATACCCCAGCTCATTCTTCTAATGTTGTTGGATACCTGACATGAATTCAGATTTGGTTTCAATAGAGAAGAAAAATAAAATTCCTTCCTGAAAACAGAAGAAACCCAGAGTCTCAGAGGACGGAGCGGACAATGCTTTGATCCAAAGTCTTTCACAAAATTAAAGACAATGTTTTTTTTGTTGACGATCCATCTGGAAGAGGTTCTGGCCAGCTCTTTAAACCATATTTTTGAATCTGATCCACACCTGTGTGAGTGTGTTATCCCTGGCTTGTAAATGTTTGGGGCCTCAGGCTGAAGTCTTACACAATTTTTAAAGTCAACAAAAGTATTTCCTTTTCATGAGCAGCTAGACATGAGTGATAAAACGTTTGGAAAAAAAAAAAGCTTGTTTCTATACACACTCTTCTAAAGGGGCATTAGTTCAATACGCAATCTCTTGAGTACAAAATCTGTATTCAAAGCAATGTATACATTTTAATTTCTACATATTTGTTGTTTCATTTTATGTCAAGCTTAAACCCCTCATGTTTAAACCCCAGATCTTTTGTAAACAACAAGTCTGCATTCATAATAATTCTGCGTTTGCTGTGCTTGGATTCGCACAACATGAGGTACTGTTTTGACACGAGTTGGAAGTGGAGCACAATGAGACGTAGCTAAAACTAGTTTTCTTATCTTCTTGATCAAATAATGACATAACTTATCATTCCACTGGTAAATGATAGAGAATAGGCATAGGCATTTCACACAAGCCTTACCGATCATTCTGAACAGTGTGTGTACAACTGATTCAGACATCAGCTGATGATTAACAGATTTTTAAGAAGTATTTTGCCTGGAAGCTTAAGGTCTGACATTGATACTCTGGCAGAAGCTGGTGTTGACTGAATAGAAAAGCCGCATGGTTTTGAGGAGGGAAGACTTAAACTTGCTGCCAAAGACATATAAAAGCTTTTTGCATAGTGTCATAAAGATGCCTGACACTCATCACATTTGTTTCTCTCTATGTGCCGATTTCAGTTTACAGACTGTTTATTATAAACAGGACTAATCCGTCAATGTCAGGAAGCAGCTTAGTTGCATTGAAGGGAGTATCTTCATCACAAGTAAGCAACTAGGACAAAGTAACTGCAGCAGTGATTGATCATTTTTGACCTTAAACATACTGTCTGAATCAATACTTTGACATTTCATATTTGGTTTATCTGGCCGAGTGGCAAACGCACCATCATAAATGTCCTAACTGATTTTCATCAAAGTGACTAACATGTTTTGCTTATTACAGATCTTCTGTTTTTATTCAACACTGCTGGAACTGGCCATTGGCATGGTGCACTGGTGTAATTAGGCATAAGGAAAAAATTGCACTAAATTAATAACTTAAGCTCAAAGTTCAGGACTCTCAGTATAAATTTTTTATAATTTTTACTAAGATTTGCTACAGCTTATGCAAAGATATCAGGATGAACATTTTAAAATTTAGCTTATGGTTAGTAATGTCAGTTTTATCTATAAAAGTAAAGCCAAATACAAACGTTAACATGGAGATAAATAATCTGAAGTATAAATCCAGCTGCCTGTGGCATTCAACAAGCCCCAAATACAGTCTGAGTCCTTTCTGCAGTAGACATCTGACCACACACTGGTACTATGTCAAGACAAGTGAGTCCATTTCTCGTTAATTATTCACCAAGTGCCCTTCTATTGTGCTTTCAAGTACAACAGGATTGTCTGTGGCGAAACAATTTCAAAGTATGCATATGTACTGTATTTAAAAGGTCCTGCTCATTATGAAACCGTGAACAGAGTTTTTTCTGTGAGAAATATGCTGATCTTTGGTTCAACTCTAAATTTTTAAGATAGAAATTTTCTTTTATGTTAAAGATTAGATTCTTAGTTTTGTCCATGTTTGAGTTCTTCAAAAAAAAAAGTGGGGGGTGGAAACAATTAGCTTGTAAAACCAATGTTTTGTTGAAACACTTCATTTACAGAGCAAACAGTAAATGTTTATCACTAGCAATTGATTTGTTAAGTCTTTTAAATTCATACTACAATTGCCTGCTTTTTGGGTTAAAACTGGTTAAAATGGAAAAATAATGGAATTCAGAAATAGAACACAAAAGTGGAATTTGGGGAAAAAATAAAACAAAATTTGGAAAATAAAAAACAGATACAGGGCCCTAAATTAGTACCTACTTTGACAACCAGTTAAAGTAATTTTCTACAATCTATTCTACAGCTGAACAGTTGTTGGAAAATCTACAACATGATGCTATTGATGAAACTAGGAATGTTACTGGCTACGACTAGCTTTCACTCTTCAGATGCTTAGAAGTTATAATCTATCCAATTGGTTATCAGTAGGTATTAAAATACAACACTTTCATTTGTGGTATTACATAAACTTAAGCTGCAATGATGATTGCAATGTGATTCATCATTCTTCCAATACAACTCTATCAGAAGAAAATATTAATGTATGAATCTAATAAATAAGTCTCCAGCGGCAGGTTAGGCAGTTTCATGTTTTGCAACAGTTCCATGACTCAAATTGAAGCTTGGAACAACTACCAATGCCAGGTGGATGTTGTATTAGGTGCTCGGACCACAGTTATGCAAATATAAATTAATATATAAAGAATGTCAAGAGAAATTAAGTGGTATAATAGAATAGTCAGATTAGTTACAACTGGGCACAAAAGTGGGGTCATGAATTGTTAAATGGGTGAACTGACCTGGAGTCACTGAATTGACAATGATATAAACAGCAAACCAAAAATATTCCTGATTCAAATTTTAATGTCTGATAAAATTTGTTCCAAAGTGAATCACACAACAGGACAATTATCCAAAACACAGCAGTAAATCTACCATGCAATTTTGGGATTTAAAAAAAAAAATTTTTATTAGGCCACTTTAAAATTGTGGCCCATTTTGTGTTAGTATATTAAATAAAATTCCACTAAAAATGCAGTATTTTTTTTTTCTTTAACAAGGAACCACACAAATGAATGTTTTGTCAGGGCTATGTTTTTTTTTTACAATTCTTGCTCACCTGCCACAAAGAAACGCCCTTCAATCTGTCAGCTCAGGCCATAAAATGTTGGAAATATATCAAACATGCCAAAGGGTGGCGATCCAAGTGAAACCGCATACAGAAGTAGTGACTTCCTCCATGGAAAACAGCAGGGTAGCAAACAGGACATGCCACCCCTGACCCACTTCTAAATCACTTTGGCTTGCCCTGTGAAAGAGCGTGGAATCGGAGAAGTGTGAACATAAAGAAGAGCAAGGGACAAAGTGACGGAAGCAGCTGAAATGCTGTTGCTTCTTGCTGAAGAATGTGGTTAACACCAACAGGACTAAAAATACAAACAGCTGAGAGACACTTTCCATCTCGGACAAGCAATGTCACTGTCTGCAAAGTTCTGAGAAACCTGGTCATTGTTCAGCTCCTGACTTTTGGTATAAATGCAATAGAACTTGTCTGGGTGTGAGCTTGTATGAAGGACAATTCTTAGAAAGACTTACATGACACTGACGCTTTTGGACCTTTCCTTCATTGTCTTTTAGGCAACTGCAAGCAACAAGATGTTTAGTAGTGATCACAGCAACAACTTTGAAGTGTTGTGAAGCACTTAAAGTTCTTTGATTTTCGTGCCAATCTGTAAATAGGCCAAAGGGGCAAACCATTTGCACAAAGTTCTTTGAAGTCAGAAGCGAATAGAGAGATGGCTGAGAACAAAGGATTGCAACTTTGCCATTCCTCCAGTCACTGACTGGTGCCCTCTTATGACAGAGCAAATGCCCTCTATCAACCTCCATTTGGAACAAAGCGATGCTGCTGAGGAGTTCTTGAGGACGAAGAGCGAGGAGAGCATTTCCTCAGGAAGCAGCTGGCTGCCTTCAGGCCCAGAGAGCTGCAGAATTATAGGCATACAAAGGTGAAAGTGGTGCTGACCATAACGCAGAGAGGATGGAAGAGAGGAGGTGGCATCGTTTTACAATACGTCTGAGCTTGGTCATGACACAATAGCTGAAGGGTATGAAGCTCGGTGCCAAAGAGAAGAGCCCAATTACTGAGGCTCCTTCGTTGCGGTTAACCAGGTGTTTTGTAAGCACCGATTTCTCCACGTTCAACTGTCGCTCCAACACATCTTGCTAAATTATTGACACCCTTTTAACTTTATCACAGTTCTGAACTTCACAACCACTTCTTTTAATGCACTACTATTAATGAAAAATAATCATAATAAGTGCAGGGGGAGGTTATTTCATTGGTAGGCCAACAAATGTGGAATGTAGAAAATAAATGGTACATGGTTTTAAGAATTTCTTACCAATAAAATTTGAACTGAATTTGTAATGATTTGTAACTCAATCCTCTTCATATGTGCATGTCTGTATCTTCATCAGTGGACAGACAGGAGGAGATCATCCCCGAACACCCGAACAACAGCAATATCCGGTGCAGTCCACAGGACAAGCGCTGCATACAGAAGACCATGGCACGACACCCTCTGAAAACCACAAATCTGAGAAGCAACAGCGCCAGAGAGGAGACCAAGCCAGTGCTGGTGAGTGAAATTACCACTTAACAGCAAAAAAAAAAAAAAAATAGAATTTGTAAGCCCCAGCAGGTATTTAACAACAAGATTCAATTGGTCCTGGTTCAAAAAAAAAAGAACTCCTATTAAGCACCTTTTGCTTTCCAATTATAAGAATAATGAAAAAAATATACAAATTATTCCTCCATTGAACTGATGTTAAGTCAAGCAGAAAGCTAAAAGTTTTTCACAAGTTGATGTGCAAAGTATTATTTTAGCTGGAGATGCATCCTTTGCTACAAGTGATCAACCGTACCCTAAAGGATTGCAATGTCATTCAATTTAAAATTATTATTTTATTAAATAAAGGAATTGAATAATTTAATTGCATTTGAATTATATATTTGCATTCTATTAATGTTTAAAAGTATCCCAAGTGGTTAAATGAAAAGTCTGCCGAATGTGGCAATAGTTCTTATAAAATTAATTGTCAGAATAGTCAATAAAATAATCACTTACTGAAATAATTGTTAGCTACAACTCTACATTCTTGCACCAATGCGCAGTTTGTTTCATTGATCTGGCAAAGGAATGGTTAGACCACTGGTATTGCTCAATGGCAGGCACATGTCTTAATGCCTTTATCTAGATAATATATGACACATCTTGTGGTTGGTCAGCAGGTTTAAAGACACCTGACGAGGAATTATAACCCACCCATCTTTACATAAACCCTGCAGGTTTCTTAGCTGTCAATTGGTTAACTTGAAGCATTCCCTTCTTAACTGAAGACTGGCCAGATCACAGTAAATGACCCTAATGTGATTCTTCTTAAGCCACTCCTTTGGCTTGATGGCAAATAGGCCATTATAATGCAGGGGGGCCCATGCATAGCTCACTTTCAGTGTCCTGCCTGAAGGGAGAACGCTTTGCTTCAAATTTTAACAATGGCCCCTTGCTGTGGTGAAGTCATCCTGTACCTTGGCAAAAAACAGCCTTACAGCATTATACTCCTGGGAGATGTTGCTCTTTGGAACATACTCTCCATTTTTTTCCCCCCCACACTAAAGACATGTGTCGGGCTGATGCCAAAGATCTCATCTGACCACATCACTTTCTCCTAAATCACACTGAAACAATGGGAACCCAAAACACACAGTACAGTGCTGACACACTTAAATAAATTATGCAAAGCGACTTACCAATATTCTTGGTAATTGTGGTTCCACTTGAGCTGAGATTGTTAACACGCTCCTTCTTTGCAGTTGTCGACTGATCCATTACCTTCGTCTTGATCACCTTCGATCCAAGATCTTTTACAGAGTCAAGCCATGCTTTTCCAAATTCCATGTACACAAAATGCATGTATTATCTATCTCTCATGTGCTTTGACACAACTTTGATCTTGACTGTCAATGTGGAGAGCTGTGGATGGAAGAAAATAGGATTTTGTGGTACGCATGCTTTATGCGTGCAACGAGTTCAGATCCGGGGCTTTGGTAATCGTCCCATGACCAATATGCAGGTAATTCAGACTGAGCCGTAGAGTATTAAATGCTTATTTCACTCAAAAACAGGGCAACTTTGAAGCCATGTAAAATTTAACTTAAATCCTGACTATCTAAAAAATGCGAGAGGTTATTTCTTGAGAGTGAGCAAAGTCACAAATCGGCAGGGAGTTGAATGTTTATTTCCCCACTGCGTAATAGAGAAAAACTCCTAGATTAAATTATGGTTAATTCAATAGAATTGTTTTCAGCTGACTTTGAAAAACTCATTTGAATACATTTTGCCTCTATCTAAGTAATGATCATTTTAAGATTGAAAATGTTTTAGGAAAAATGAAGTCTACCAGTTCTAAAATGTTTGTTTGCAACCTACAAAGCAAGTTGCAAACCCACATCACCGGCCCCTGAGGGCCAGTTTCCAGGCGATTTTAGAAATTTCTCTGCTGCAACACACCCAAATCAAATAACTTCTCCATCAGCTGGACTCTGTTAATCTTGAATGCATGCTGAGGACGTAATTTAGCCATTTCACTCAAGTTCATTGGATGAGTCTAGCAGTTGCAGGACACCAGCCGTCGAGGGATAGTTTGAGAATCCTACTCTAGACACGAGCTTCTAAAAACTTATTGAATATAGTCTAAACATATAGTTAATGTGGATAACATTATAGCTTTTTGGCATTCTGTGCTTTATAGAGAAACACTGGAGTCTGACATTAGCAGGCTAGTTAGCAGAGCTATTTTTGCTCACTTAGCTTGTCGGAACTCTTGGCTAAAACATGCTGCTCTAAACTTTTAGCATGCAAAGTTTCTTTCAGAAGAACTTTACCTTATTACAATAATTGATGACGCTCTTCCGCTTTGCTACCCACTAGACTCTTCTTCTTTTAAGTTTTACTGGCGGTTGCCAAATCAACTGAAGGTGCATTTACTGCATTTACTGCCACCTACCGGACTGGAATGTAGTTGGCAAAAACGTAAAAAGTGCAACGGCACAGGTAAGGGAGGGGCAAGTGGGGACAAATGTTGCCAGATTGGGCGAATTTTTCCCCAATTGGACTTCTTTTGAATATTTTGGGCTGGGAAAACAAGTTTTTGGTAGGTTGCTAATGTTTGGGTGGTTTTTCACAGCATTTGACGTGTTTTTAGGAAGCATCCATGGAAAATTAAATCTAAATGGTTGTCACTAAGTGGCAGAAAAGTAAGAGACTTTAAAGACATGTCATTAAAGTTATGTCATATTCTTATTCTCATTTCATTAGTTATTTTATTTGGAAATTAGCTTAAGCTGCTACCCCGGCGACCCGACCTCGGATAAGCGGCAGAAGATGGATGGATGGATATTAGATAATAAAGTGTCACTATGAAATTGTTTTGGCCCAAGTCAATTTTGACCTGAGTTTGAAAGTTGGGCTTGTTTTTTTGTTGTATGTTTGTTGTTTTTTAAGTTTTGATTTGAAAGCTGTCAGTCTTTCAACCCTGCTTCAATCTCCGCTCACTCTGGAACTTTCTCTGATATTTTTATAAAATTACTTTGAACCCCGGAAAGTGTGAAATCAATTATAATTTAATGGTTTCAGGTTTTTTTTTTTTTTTTTTTTTTTTTTTTTTTTTTTTTTGGTTTTATGTTAAACTGAGGTATACCCGGAGACATTAGCAGGCTCAAAGTCCAAGTCACTTCCTTGCAATCTGTCTTTGACTTGACTCTCAAAGACTTGAGACTCGGCCTAGAATTGTGACCATCTCTTTCACAATCTACAGCCTACTAGGTCAGCAACACAAGCCTATGTGGTAAACTGAGCAGCCTGCTCTATGACCTCTTAAAACCCTTTGGAGCTTTATGAAACTGAAAAATGGGAGGGAGTAGACCCTGATCTGGGAAGCAGATAATTTTCTGACTGAAGAAAGATCCAAACAATCAAAGAGTTTTGCTGAAACAGGAGCTGACATGTAGAAATTAACCTTTTGATATGCATCTGGAAACAGTTTTTAAATTAGCACAAAAAAGAAAACCTCATAAAGCATTCAGCTGCAAATAATTATTTGTATTTTTCATTTGTAGACATCCACTAGGAGCTGCAACACATTACCTGTTTTAAATTATGATTCCACTCAACTTTTCAACTTCATAACATTAATCCTTTGTATAAATGTTCTATGTGTGTGTCATTATTGAGTGTGTACAAAAAACAACTGCACAACTGATATCAGGGTGTTCAATAAAAGTCTCTTGAAATACTTGTTTCTCCTAAAGGCGCCCTGCCGTGCTGAGCTGCAAAGAGCTCTGGACAGATTGGCATCCAACAGCCGCACCCATGATGACCTCTTCACTATTCCCATCCCCAACTGTGACAAGAATGGCGATTTCCACCCAAAACAGGTCTGTGACTTGGAGAAAAAACTGTATGAGCTTTCTGGAATCCTCCTCTGGAATCACTGAGCAGACTGCTCTTTTGGCTATGTCTGCTGGTGAACTGCGAATCCTTTAAGTTACGCCAAATTAAATGAAAAAGCAAATCTTTGAACTTCAAACAGCTCTATTCAGATCTCATCAACATTCTGTGGGCCAGAACACAAAACACGTCGGCAGACGATGACATACTATCTTACAAGTTCAAGATCAACAAAAGAGTCTCCAAACAGACTGTCGCGGTGAAGCCAAAACCCTGTTTTTCCAAGCTGGCGTGGAAAGTGATTTACGTTCAGAAATTAACATGTCATGTGTAAGGCAATTTGCCTGAAACTGCTGAACAACCATCACTCTATTATTGTGATGGATGCAATTAGGTTTTGAATGCAGTGGCTGCCTTTCTTTTCTTTTTGTTCCCCTGCTTTTGCAAGACTGAGCAAACATGCCGATAAGAGTGAGAGAATCAGAGAATATATATAAAAAAAAAAAAAAAACGGAGATAAGGACGCTTTAAGTTGCAGACTCAGACTATGTGATAAAAACAAAGCTCTGCTAAGGCACCAGCCATCAAATGTCTGAGTTATGCTGATTGTGTAACGTGGTTGAAGTATCTCAGTCTGCTCAGTTTCTCAGGCATCTGTTTACTGTTTAACTAAAACTGCACTGTGATAATACCCAAAGGGAAGCAAAGCACAGGTCATTAAGGACAACTGGGACCAATTTTAGGCCAGCGTTGCAACGAGTTTTTTATCTGGTGGTGTTGGAGCCTATGTGAAAACTGAAATCATCCCGTTAAAAAGGTCCAAACACATGCAAAATCTGAACAGCTGAAAGCTCACACAGGGATTTGGACCTGATAATTTAATTAGACCAAATGCCATTTACTGTTTGTTTAGTGCCACTTTAATTGAACTTTAATTAGTTTAGCATAGAATTTTGATCTCTTTAAGAGATTAGGTGTTGGAGTAGGTAGTGGATATTACTTCTTTGCTAAAATGTGTTTTCCACCATTTTAGAGACCACTGGTCACGAAAAGTAAAGAGTCAAAAGAGCAAAGAGCTTCTGCTTATTTGCTCATCTAATACATACAGAGCAATGTCTGCATTCCTCCACAGTTTTGTTCACGTCAAACTCGCTCACACATGTAGATCACATATTTCAGCTATTTTCCATTTGAACTTCCTTGGTACTTTAAAATAATTTTTTACATTTTATTTAGCTAAAAATACACAGAGAAAAACAAACAAACATTCAAACTATCATTTCTAACATGGTCACTGAAACATATTACGGTACATATCCCCAAAGCTTATTTGGATTTTTAAGGTGATCTGATAAGAAAAAATAATACTTGCAAATATCCTCTGAGCTCGGGTCCTCTACCAGAGGCCTGGGAGCTTGAGGGTTCTGCGCAGTATCTTGGCTGTGCCAAGGACTGCACATTTCTGGACTGAGATGTCTGATGTTGTTCCTGGGATCTGTTGTAGCCACTGCTCCAGTTTGGGGGTTACTGCCCCGAGGGCCCCGATGACCACAGGCACCACTGTGGTCTTCACCTTCCAGGCCCTCTCCAGTTCTTCCCTGAGGCCCTGGTATTTCTCCAGTTTCTCGTGCTCCTTTTTCCTGATGTTGCAATCACTTGGTATTGCTACATCTACCACAACGGCTTTCCTCTGATGTTTATCCATTACGACAATGTCTGGTTGGTTCGCCATTACCATTTTGTCTGTCTGGATCTGGAAGTCCCACAGGATCTTAGCTCTGGCGTTCTCCACCACCTTTGGGGGTGTTTCCCACTTTGATCTCGGGGTTTCCAGTCCATATTCTGCACAGATGTTTCTGTACACTATGCCACTTGGTTATGTCGCTCCATGTACGCTTTCCCTGCCAGTATCTTGCACCCTGCTGTGATGTGCTGGACTGTCTCAGGGGCCTCCTTGCACAACCTACATCTTGGGTCTTGTCTGGTGTGGTAGATCTGGGCCTCTATTGCTCTGGTGTTTAGGGCCTGTTCCTGGGCGGCCAGGATGAGGGCCTCTGTGCTGTCCTTGAGTCCAGCTTTTTCCAGCCATTGGTAGGATTTACTGATATCAGCCACTTGGGTTTTTGCTGGTGGTACATCCCATGTAGGGGTTTGTCCTCCCATGATGGTATCTCTGGCACCTCAACCTCCGTTCCCTGTTGTCTGAGACATTCACTGAGCACATTGTCTGTTGAGGCTTTGTCCCTGATGTATTTATGGATCTTAGTTGTTTCGTCCTGGACAGTGGTTCTCACACTCACTAGTCCTCTGCCTCCTTCCTTGCGGCTCGTGTACAGTCTCAGGGTGCTGGATTTGGGATGGAACCCTCCATGCATTGTTAGTAGCTTTCTGGTCTTAATATCTGTGGCTTTTATCTCCTCCTTTGGCCAGCTAATTATATATATATATTATATATATATATATATATATATATATATATATATATATATATATATATATATATATATATATATATATATATTTATGGTATTACTACTACAAACATCTAGTTCAATCACCTCTGCAGGACTGAGGAGCAGAGTCCTCTATAGTGACATACGATTGGACAGCTGAGGCTTGGCTTACATTGGCTCATCAGCATGACACTGATTCCAACTAGACCAACTACATAATTGTTTGGTTGTTGGAATGGTCCAGTCAAATCCCAGAGTTTAACCTGACCGAAATTCTGTGGGGATATCTTAAGCCTTACAGAAACTGCAAGTCTTGATAAACGGAATAAATGTTGTGAAGTGGTGTGCGTTGTTCCACCAAAGTAGTCTGAAGATTGCACATAGTAGTGCAATCTTCAGAACTGCATTTCTGTGACTAATTCTTTCATCTTTACATCCATCCACAGTGCCATCCCGCACGTGACGGGCATCGGGGAAAGTGCTGGTGTGTGGATCCCAAGACCGGCATGAGGCTGCCAGGGCCCCTGGAGCTGCGGGGGGATCTGGACTGCCACCAGTTAATGACTGCGACCCTAAGGGACTGAAGGGCGCAGAAGAGGGACAGTTTGGGTTTGGTGAACCAGCTGAATTTACTGGTGCTTTTAGTAGAACCATATGACTAAAGGACTTTATACTTCAGCCGAGCTCTACCAAAGGCAAACAGTTGTGGAGTTTGTGAAAAAAAAAGGAAACCATTAAATTGAATTATTTTACTATTATGTTTCTGTATGTGAGAGTAAGTGATTTGAATCTTTTGAGCACTTGTCTTGTTTTGTTCCTACCATGTGAAATTAAGACAGAATGTCTTTAAACGTGTGCGCTTTAAAGTATCAGGTGGTAGAGAAACAAAACACGCTTCTTCAGAAAGGGGCTGTACATGTGATTTATGTAAGAGACGACGCTAACCTTTTCTGTGTAATCCTCTTAAAAAGTAGCAAAAAAGCATTTAGTCCACTTTAGTATAGCAGATTTAAAAAAAGAAACTGATCATGTTTTCTTCTTTGTGTAGCACCAGATTGGTTGGAATCTGGTGCCATCCAGACCATCCAGAAATATTTAGTTTGAAAGATAAAGCTTATGTAGCAAGTACTTTTTTGCATCTCATATTCTCTACGTAGAATAAAGCACAATAGAAAGACAAAAAAACCTTAACTGAGTGATAGAATTAAAGTAGCAAAGATTTATGAAATGGGAATAACAAATTCTATGAAATGAGATGAAAGGGCTGCAAAAAGCTACAAAACCGTAGTGGTTTAACAAAGAAAAAGCCATAGCCTTTCACATCAAGTGCACCAAAGTCAAATTTGAAATTAAATGAGAAAGTCTGTATCTCTGAGATCCCAGGACAGATTTTATTTATTATGCGGCAGTGAATTCCCCTGTCATGTTTTCTGCCTAACATCTTTAGCACAAAAAGCATGGGCAGTGTTGCTTTACTAACAGCTCTGTGCGTTGCTGATAGGATAATCTTCTTTTCCAGCTGGTGCTAAAAGATGCCAGTATGACCCTTGTGTTTGTATGGATATGCTTTGGCTTACAGGATTTCTCCCCAGCAGACTGCTTGGCAGAACTAAATGGTGCTATATTCTGACTGTGCCAAAACATGAAGCAAAGATGGTTTCTACTGTTTTTTTGTTTTTTTTGGCCATTGTTCAGCATTCAAGAAAAAGTGAGAAAAAAGTATTGGCATATATGAGGAGCAACCTTATGTGTTCAGCTTTCTGCTTTAGCCATTGACAAATATTTTCCTTTTCTTTAAAATGATGAAAATCCAATATTCAGCTTTGCACTATAGTTGCTGCTATTACTTTTTAATTTGCTAGTGTTCTGAAAAAGGCAGACCATTTTTGTTAAATGAAACAGCATTGTGCAATGAGCTTCGGATGACTTCTAGCTAACAAATCAAGTGTTTTATTCTGGTGCTGCTTCAAATGTACCACAAATATCCTAAAGAAAACAAAGAGATGTTCTCGTAGTTTCCCTCTTAAGTATTATGATATTCAAAAGAGTGTAATGTTACTGAAGGTAACTGGTAGCAGTAGCTAATAGCATGCTAATTGCATAGGTGTACCAGTGGGCATTCAAAGGAGAGTACTGGATTTAAGCTAACTTTTTAATGTCGTCAGATCTGGACAGTTGGGTTTAAACGTTAGTATTGACTCAAGGAAATATTTCTGTCGTTAGGTTCATGTTTTGTGAAGAGGACAAAAAGCACCATAATATCAAAGATCAATTGCTGTTAGCACAAATTCAAAGGGTGAAATCAGATTTTTGCTGTTGTTTACCATTTCACAATTTTGTTTACATGACAAAGGAGCCAATAGAAGTTTCCTACCAACCATATACCATGTTATAGCAGCCTTGAGGACATTTTGTACCCACCTTGGACTACAAAAGATCTAAAGTAGTTTAAGACATTTGTACGTGACAAAAAAAAATTTAAATATACCAGCAGGAGGTCTTCCAGTTATTCTGGTTAGAGCTGAGATAGGGCTTCACAATATCAGGAAAACATGACTTTCCAATATTACCGCAGAGTATTGCAATGACACCATCAACTCCAAGTAACCCACTCGCTACTCTTTTCTCCATCATCAGAATCTCCCCACGCTTTACCATGTCTTTCATAAAGATCTAAAATAGACAAGTGAACAAGATGGCACGTGATTCAGAAACAATAAAATACCTTCTCATTGTATCAAAGTGATTATTTCCAATTTGAATATTGCACACGTATGTGATATTGGGCTGATGATTGTGATTTAATGTGTTGTGCAACTTTGTGAGGAGTCATGCTTTTGCAATAGACTGGAAATTTGAAACCCCTTTGAAACGTCAAAGCATACAAATTCATAACAGTGAGTCAATGGAAAAATCTCTTCTCTTATTTATTGTGAAAACAATTATGACTTTGGAGTCTATGATGTAAATGTAGAAGGTTACACATTAAACTCCAAAACCTGGTATGGGCTGGAACCATTCCTGATTAATTTTGGCCCTTTAACCTATTTTATTTTAAAGAAAAATTTACAAATTAACAAAAAATATGATCAAAGAATAATAAAATATCAATTACTATAAATTTACATTAAATTTACTCATCACAATTATTAAATATCAGCAAATTAATTCACTTTTTCAAAGATCAGTTTAATTAGTGACCTGTCATAGAAGAATGTATTTCATGTGATTAAAGGTTTAAGTCATATCACTAAAAAATGGAATAATTTCCTAAGCTTATTTCTAACTAGCAGTTAGATGAAGATAGTGTTGGAGTATTAATCTCTTTCCAGAGATTAAGATAACCTTAGAATTGTTTCAAAGACAGAACAAGATTTCCTACATATTTCAATGAGCCACACAGACAGATGAAAGAATGTTTTACCTGAATCCATCTTAATGCCACTAAAGACTCAACGCTAAACATGTTCAAAAGCATCTCTGTGATTTATAATTACATTTTCATCATTAAAAAAAGTCTTATTTTTTATTTTAAATGCCTTTTGAGTGCATAAAATAGTTACTTGATAGTAAGCTGCTTAATCTAAGACTTTGCAGTTTTGAACTGTTTCTGGAGAATAGACTATTTTTTATTTGCATCTGATATTATCTGTTTATGTGTAGATTATTAATGTTTGCATGCATGAAAATAAGCCAGAAACAGATTAGGTCTTTTTTTTTTGTCTAGAAGAGAAATGTTGTGCTCACATGTTTGAGTGAACAGAGAATTAAAATATAGAGTTGAAATGAATAATGTTTACCTGAAACGAAAATGTACTCATTGTAATGTATCAATTAAAATACAATAGAAACTACATTGTAGCTGTGTAATTCTTAGTGATAGAAGTGATATCAATAGTACTGGACAACTGTAACATAAAAAAAGCATTTATGTAGGTATGTTGACCTATAGAGGAGGTGATGTTGATTGACTTGTATTTTATAAGCTTTCCAACAGCTTGTGTAATCTAGACAGGTGAAAAGAAAATGTACATAATTTTTTTTTCTGCACATTGTTTCAATCAATATAAGCTAACCTCTGTAAATAAAGATAACCCAGAACAAGTTTGAGATTCTGATTTGTTGGACTAACACTTCTTAGGAACCACAGAAATCCAATGTAGAACTGTTTTCACTCCAAGTGATGTGAGATTTTACTTCTTCAACAACTATTATTGCAATCCATTAATCAAACATATGTCATGTTTTTCATGTTTATTTTTTGATTGTATTTCTATTTTTACCTCATGCTCCAAATTAATCAGACTACGTAGGTGTAATTTAAGCCATAACATGCACACACAGCTAAAACCAGATAGCTATATTCATTCACTGGTGAATATGTGGAACGCCCACATGCCATTGCTTTAAGAGCTTTTAATGGGTTAATTTACAAAACTTATTGCGAACAAGTGAGAGTATTTTTTTCAATTGTTCAAAGATACCGCTTCTTTTGGTGACATTATAAAAAAATCAGATGAAATCATATGCAATGCCAGGAAGAGAATTATGGACGTTCACATGTCTGGTTATCTGGTGCAATTTCAAGATGCCTGAAGATGCAATGTTCATCTATTTAAACAATGACATGCAAGTTTAAAAACATATTTCATTGATAAATGTTCAGCCATAATATAATTTAGGACATATTTTTGGTGCAGAATGATCGTTTACCAAAACAAGAAGCTGTCCAAGCCACCCTGAGGCCTGTGTTGAAAACTAATTGACCTAACAGTTGGTTCACCATCAAGCTTTGAAATAAGTTTTTCAAATGTTTATGGAGAATTTTTGACCCTCCCCCACTGCTGACTTTCTGAACCAAAACTGTTTTAAAGTGTTGTGACCTTATTTTGGATTTAAGGCCCGACTTTAAATCGGAATTGCACTAACTCCTCCAGGTCAGAGCATTACACAACCACTACCATGTTTGACTTGGAATAATTTATTTTTGTTATTTACATGTCAGATACAACAGGACATACTGTCCAAACACTTAATTTTGTCCACTCCGCAGAATTTCGTCTTAATGAATGTGAGATTGGCATTAGGGTTATTTCTGTTACCAATGGTTTTTGCCTTAGAACATTTATTACATGCTTCCCTCCACTAAATCATAACCTAAACTGATTTAAATGAGGTCTATGTTCATTTAAATGTTGTGAGGTTTTCAATCAATAACATGAGTCATTGATGAGCTTCTGACACACCACTCACTCCTAGGAAGGTTCACCACTGTTTGAAGCTTTCTCTATTTGTGTACAATTCCTCCCAATGTGGTTCACTGGAGTTCCAATGTCTTAGAAATTCCTCTGTAACCCAGTCCAGACAGACAAAAGTCAATGACTTTGCTTTTCTTCTGTTTCCAAATATCATTCAGTCTGGGTGTTGATTTTTGAAATCTTTTAGATAACTTCCTGTTATCAGGCAGGTTCAACTTAAGTGATTTATTGATTTTACAACTAAGGGAGTAGTCATGTCACACCTGAGTCTGACATAAATGGATTTAAAACCTGCAGGAAAGTAGATCTTAGGGAGTAGTGTTGGAGACCCTTGACCTAAACTGACAAGCGAGCAAAGCAGAGAATTAATCATTGAAGCAGCCAAATCGCCCATGGTAACTCTCGAGGAGCTACAAAGATCCACAGCTCAAGTGGAATAATCTGTGGACAAAACAGGTATTAGTTATAGACAAAGCAAATCTGGCATTTCTGAGAAAGTAGCAAGAAGTAAAACATCATTACAATTACACCATCTCAACATTCTAACGAGCGGAGAGACCATCTCTTCTATCAATCACAACAAAGAGGGATCATATGCTCAACTCCAACATCTCTCTGCCCAGCTTTCTAACTAAACGACCAAACAGATTTAAAGAGGAGAAGCAAAAGCAAAGGAGGTGGATTAGTAGCTGATGGTGTTATCTGAGACATGTAATTGTTGCTGCCTGGATATTGAGCTGTTAGCTTCTCGATAGCAATAAAACTGTCAGACAGTCGTCTTCCGTCAGAGGCCTCATCGGAATTGTTGCAAGACTGACTGCTCCTGGAAATCATCCTTGTTCACAGCAACAATATTTAAACAACACTTTGAAGGTCATTAGACGATATGAGTTGCAACAAGATTTAGTTTCTCATGTGGAGAAATACAATATATATTTTAATTGAATTCAATTAAGTTACTGTGGTAGTGGTAGGATCATTCAGTGAGGATGGATGGACATACAGAGATTCTATTACGTCTCAAAGTTAGATGGGTGATGTTAAAAAATATATTTCAAAATGTTCACATGTAAGCTGTTGGAGAAGTGAAAGGCGCACTCTTCATTTTTGATGTCTAAATTAACATGAAGCAGATACAAGATTCTGTGCCAAAAAGAAACAGAAAAAAAAACCTCCTTTTGAATAAAAGCTTCCAGATGCCAGATAGTAGGGTCTGTTCCTTCATGCACGTCTCAGGCATGCTCTATTATTATGATAAGCAACATGTGGAAGAGTTGTCTTACTTTTTCCACATCAGTGATAAAAAACGGTTAAGCTTTTGTCTCTTGATCAAAAGTGAGAGAAAGCATTGACAGGGAATGTCTGAACTTTTTAAAATTTTATAGGGGTAAACATAAAAGAAGAATCATTTCCAGAGATGGGTAGAGTACCAAAAATTCTCCTCGAGCAGGAGCAGCACTGCTTCATCATACTGAAACCTAACTAGTTCTTTCACTTCTGATTATTTCATCGTCTTACATATTCTTTCTTCCTGTCTTGGTAACCTTGGTTCACCCCGAATCCAACGTGAAAGTCAATTAAACAGACAGGCTGCTGATACTGCTCCAGGCAGCAATGGAAGGAAGAGCTCTCTAAAGACACCTGACAATAATCTGAGGGTAGCAGCTTCTAAAAATATCACTCCACCATCCACGACCAGAGTAAACTTTCAAGTCTGCTTAGTTCCACTGCCTGAGTCTATTTTGGAGAGCTCTATGGGCTTAAGAACAGAGCCTGAAACTGCTTTGGGGCAACATCTCCATTGGGCTGGTTCAAAATGTCACAGCCCCAGTTCTGCCTCTGGGCATCCACAATCCCACAGCTGAGCCCAGGAGGCCCATTATCAGTGTGCTTAGCTTATAGGAAGCATGTGACCTCCCCCACCTCCAGATGTACTTCGCTGCAGGTGTTTGACATTATACAGTACAAGGGCCGGAATTTCCTACTGTGGCTTTCGCTGCGTGCCTTTTGCACGCAGTTCTCTGAGCACCACACCTGGAGAGAAAATCACATCAGCATCATTAGGGTGCAGGTCAAGCAGAATTAAAAGGAGCTCTTGTAGGTGTGCAGAGTAAACAGAAAGAAATGGGGTCATATTGAACACAGTCAATTAAAAGACCCCAAACAAGTGCTATTCAGGTTGAACGGACTGAGATATAGGCTAAATCCTGTGGGCTTAGGACTGTTATTTTTAGGCAACACACAACTACAACTGTTGACCTGGGCAGCTCTCACACAAAGCGAACAAGAATGCAAAGTATTTCAGTTGTGGCAACAAGGGAGCAGCAAATAGGTCTCAAAAGCTTATAGCCTGTGAAGCATCCATAATGTCATGCCTAATATGCTGACACAAGTAATTGTGTTCAGGTGCATCTCAGTAAGAGAGAACGTCAATGAATAGCTCATTCAGAAATTCACCTCAAAAAGGGAAACTTACACAGTATACACATTAATTATGAACAGTGTGAAATGTTTAAAGGGTTATTTCTTATATTCTTGCAACTATGCCTCAATTGCCATGAAATATTTAGCTTGTGAAAACATTAAGTATCACATTAGAACAATTAAAAAAAGCCTCAATCAAAAAATGTTATGTCATGGCCATTTTATAGCTTACACAATCATGGTGAAGACTGCTGACTGGACAATTTTCCAGCAGACAGTGTGAGTCATGGAAAACCTTCCATGACTGCAAGTTACAAAGGGATATTGCTAAAGAAGCTAGCTGTTCCAATAGTATTTTATCTAAAGGACACTGATGGAAAGTTTGGTGGAAGCAAAATGTGGTAGAAAAACTTGAACAATCAACAGGGACAGGCAAGAATTGTAAAACAAAGGTCAATCGAACTGCAGCTAGAGGCACAGTTTTGAGAGCCACCACACAAGTTCATTTAACTGGAGCACTTGCCTGCAGATAATCAGAGCACTCCAGAGCACTGCTGAATGAAATTTCCTCAAAATGTTGACACAGTCAAACAGCTAAAGATTTAGATATGCTTTAAAATATTTGTAAAAAGTCACTCTGGGGGAATACTGTCAAGGACAGACTCGAGAATATTCAACTATGTTGGCATATTTTTAAACCACTTCAGTTTTTTTATTGTATTGGTTGCTTCCTTCAATTTCCACTTAAGAACTCTTATTTGTTTAAAGCAAATAACCAAGCACAATATTCCCATGATAAAACATGGTGGCGGTAGTATGATGTTATGAGGACAGAAATTTGGTCAGGACTTTATATGGTGTGCCAGATGTATCCAGTACATTGGTTATTATACCAGCATTGCTTGGGTTAATCCAAACCTGAACCAGATCATGTCAGAAGCATCTTACCTGAGCTAAAGAGAAAAGGACGGGGCTTTTTGCAAATCTAGGAAGAATGCAGAGGCAGAAAAATCAAGCTGCTTAAAAACGGACTGGTGGTCAGCTGTGTTTTATCAAGTTCAAAGTTAGCAAAGGACACTACCAGCAAATTATAAGCAACTTCATACTGCAGACAAGCTTTATGGAGATGGTGATTTAAATTTCCAGCAGGTGTTGGCAACCTGCCCACACTCCCAAAAATACCAATATCTGATTTAATTGTCGTGGTATAATGGACCAAGAAAAAGGCCTGACGTTACCCCCATAGAGAAACAATGGAGTCAAGTCAAAAGAACATGAGAAGTGGGCCCAATGACAGAGAGTACGGAAGAGGATTAGGGCCACTGGAAAAAAAAAAAAAAATGTCCGAAAATTTTTTTTCAGTGGTTCAGAAAAGGTTAAAAAAGAGAAAAAAATTTTTTGTGGCCCAGAAAAAAAAAAAAAA